TTTCGCCAGTGTCCCCATTGAAGCGCAGGGACTGACCTTTGCTTAATAATCTTTCTATTCATTTTTTCTATACGCCCGCTCCGCCAGTAAGGGTGTAAGGCAGCCAGTCTCCCGGATGTCAATCCATGAGACGACATGAGGATCGCTCTGCTTCCACACGCTCGGTCTTGGTTGAAGCTGTTGCAGCATCTTCTTTGATTTTCAGCGGGTTTACGTGGAGAGGTCGCTCCCGAACTCGAGAGTGATTTCTCACGAGCCCAGGTCCTGGATGTTCTGTTTCCTGTTCTTGCATATATTGTTGCGACTGTGAGAGTACATGAGTCCACATCCTCGGAGGGAAATACTGTGACGATCACCACTGCCAGTGCATCCTTAGCTCATATCAGTCCCTATGCATTTCCTTCATGATTCGTCATCTGACAGGTTAGCTGCTGAGGCTTTCCGATGATTGCGTTTAAACTGGCTTCGATTGGCGTGAAGGTTTTTCGATGCTTCCACCCTGGTGACCTCAAACACATACGCAATGAAGGCTATCGGACAGCATTCTACAGTTGTTACATGGCAGCCGCACGCTTAAAGTTTGCAATTGCCTTGCAACAGCTCATGACGGGACGGCTCAGGATGCCCGTGCCAATGCTTGAGCTGAGGGATGGGGCGTTGGACACGTCATGCGAGACCTTAAGGCACTGCAATCTTCTTGGATGCAAAGCGGAGGAAAAACTTGGCTTATGAGTGTGGATGGCGAGGGCGAGGCAGAGGATGTGATGATGCCACGGGTTCCCTTTCGACGTGCCTGAGGATGGCACGAGTTCCCACTGCATTCACGTCGGGTTGAATGGACCTGTGACTCTGCATGCAAAGAAGCTGAAGGTGCATACTCCAAGCAGTTTCCCCTCTCAGAAGTCTTCCGGGACTGTGAAGCAATTCCGGTTGTCAAACGGAATCTGTCATAGCGTGCGGCTACGCGAGCCTTCATAAAGCTGAATCTTCTGATTGCCCTGCCACCGGAATGCAGGGCTTAGGAACATCTTTCTTGGACATTTTAAAAAGGCTAAACTTAGATATGTTCACTATGTTAAAAAACTAATCAACTATGTGAAACTAAACTACGTTAGCTATGTTGGGTTTTAAGTGTCAAGCAGTCCCAGCGTGGGCCTGATCAGTTGACTGACACAGCAACGTTCGCGGGTTCAAGGTCGCCGAAGCAGCGGTGGACCTGCCTCATGTATCCGTTTGATCCGAAAAACCTTAGGGTTTAGGGTTTAGGGTGAAGCCGCACAATTCTCTGTTACAACCAATACATCAAACTCCTCCAATCCCTGCGCCCAAGGCACAAGGTTCTTAAGTCTTGCGCCCAGGCGCAGGCTCGGATGCAAGGACGGAGAAAGGGCGCAATCGGACCTACCTCGGATCCACAAAGAGTTTCATGGAAACTACAGATCTCATTTCTGCAATATAGCAAATGGCAGCCAACTAGGATTCGAAATGGGCCAGTGCCACTTTTCCCGCAATAGCTATAACGTTGGAGGGCTTTCGCTTTATGCATGCTTGCCGTTCGCTGCTAGCATTATACAACTTCTTCTAGAGCGCTGCAGGGCTGGGGTGCACACCCTCAGCGTTCTCAAAGCTGCCTCTTGGCTTGTGGTTGCTTGGGATTGTAAGCGCAGTATGAGGATCCCGACCTCTTTCTGGATGGGAGAGTTGCAGAGCTAACCGAATTGAGGACGACTATGGGCTAAGACCTTGGTGTCGCACTTGCTGAACCGACAAAAAAGCAAGCGCGGAGGGAATTGGGGGTATCATTTACCTGCCCACCATTTTTCATGGTGCCATCATACCACCCAAGTCGATTAGCCCTTCCAGAAGCTGCAAGGAGTGACTTTCGCCGTATCGAGTTGAGGAAATAGAAATTGAGTTGGGTTCCCAAAGAAGGGCGATTAATACAGTGAAGTCTAAAGGAACGTGCTCCGTGAGCCCGTGGGCTCATCTTGAGCGTGGGTATTCCTGAATTGAACAAGCGGGCAATGATGGCAAGCAGCACGACGAGCAACAAGCCTCCTGAAGAAACCTGGCGGCAAATGTGTTGATGCTGGCAGGCACCTAAATCACCGTGATGAATAGAATGATGCGAGATTTGTTCAGTGCGCTGCGGAGTTTCCTTCTCCCATGTTGGTCGGCGGCGGCAGGGAGGGTACCAGCGGCGCATGTGGAAGTCGAGCTTTGTCCTTGCTACAACCTCAGGATGGTGAACGTGTCACCCGAGTCCTTCTGATGCTTTGGAACAACTGCGTCTGGTAATAGTCCCTGATGCGCGTCTGGCGTCGGAACGGGGGGGGGGGGGGGGGGCACGCCCCCCCCGAACGAAGAATGTGAGGAGCAGCGAAGAAGCGGCAAGCCTCCAGCTTCATCCACATGAAAAAATCCAGAGAGGGTTCCTGGCAGGTCTTAAGAATCCGACCTGCCTGGGGCCTGGATTGCATCGGGCAAAGTCAGACTCGTTACAGTCCAATCTGTGCGTCAGGAACACGCATCTCCTCTACAAGGGGAAAGCCAGGTACGAATGGGCAAAAACAGATTGCTCCCCGAAACAAGCATGCACTGTGGGAGAGGTTGTAAAGCGATAAGCAGTTATAAGCTCATATGATTTAGTATTCGATGCCAATCAGCAGCTATCGCGTTCTCATGGGAGCGACACACTTGAAGGCCACGGAGTTCAGGAAGTTCATGCTGGAAGTGAGTCCCAGTCCACAGCTGGTCACTGTTGACGTCGTTACCTCCCAGAGAAGAGAGGGGCTGCATAAGACAGGTGCATAGGGGCCACATCAGCCTGAGCTGCAAGGACGTGAGCGCCAAATAGAGCATGAACATGAGAGAATAGCAAACTGGATGGCAGCAAATACAGAAAGTTTAGTGCAAGGATCAAATACTCCTCATGAGAAACGTGCTGGCACAGGAATTTGTCATCTGCTCGCTTAGTGGCACTAGGCAAGGCGCTTGCAACAGAGAGCTTGCAGGGGCACTTGGCGTCGAGGTATTGGATATTGGCATCAAACCACAAACATCAGGCTTTCAATCTCTGCCGAGTCCCTGCCGATTTGTGCGTTGACGTCGATGGAAGTGGCCACCTTTACGACAGCTGATGCCGCATGTCTTCCGCCTCCATCGGTCGCTGGATTTTACCCACGATCTCTCAGCGAGTCTTAGGCACATCAACCGCACGATGAAGAAGGCATTTGCATGCGCGAACAAGCTCTTGCCAAAAGGATAATCCTCCAGTCGCCACTACATTTAGCACTCCTGTGTGCCACATCCCAACTGCACTTCTGCAAGCGATTGTATGCCCAGTTGTCCTCTGCGCGAAGTAGACCATGATGAGATTCATCGTGGGCGCGCTTTTGACGCTTCCTGTGGTTGGTGCTGAATGGGGACATTGCAACACATAGTAACACAAAACGAGGATGTGTATATACACATGTAAGGATCGCGTTGAGCTGTCGCAAAAACCATTAGAAACTTTGGTTATCCTATTGGATGTTGCTCGGATGCATGCGTGTTTATAGGGGCTGCCGCGGGGGCTGGCGAGTAGGTGAGAAGGCCAAAAACTTTCGACGAAATGAGTCAACCAAGACCCGTAATTAGGCCCAAAAGGGTAGTTGATCACGTAGACAACTGGCACCTGACGCGCGAGAGCTCGCGAAATTGATGCCGCAGCTGACGCAGATTCGCTCATTTCTGAAGCCGGCCTTAGATCCAAATCTTGAACACAAAGGTGATTATCTGAAACCCCCTCGCAAATCCTCCAACCCTGCTAAATCCTTTCAACTCTCCGACAACAAGCAAGACTTGGGTGAATCACAAGTCTTGGATCGTGGGCTATTACGCACTCTCGCGACCAAAGCGCAGAAGCCATGGCGCGCTCGCGTGCCCGGAGCAATAGCTGACGCGACCCAATCAAATCTTGACGCCTTACTCCTTTCATGGGCGGGCTTATGCTGCTGCTCATTGCACAATTCACAAAAAGAATTGTAAGGCAGGCCTGTCCTGCTTGGCTGTGCCTGGCAGCTCTGGCCCTGGCAAGCGGGAACCCCAACCAAAGGCAGGTCAGGCCCTCTCCCCTCGAGGGTTTTAACAGGGCTGGATACGGACAGGGCTCATTGAGGGATTCATGGTCGCGGCAGGGATAATGGCAGGCAGTTTCCGCTTCATTGTCCATCTTCTTATCCATTTGCGGGAGAGGCGGGCATTCGTCCGTGGAGGATTGTTGTAGACGCCACACACAGCGGATTCCTTCACAAAGTCCGATGAAAAGGAGCTCCCCGCCCCCCACCCCGGACACTCCCACCCCAAAAAACAACCGGCATCCAGAAGGGAACTAATTTGTCAGTCAAGTTTGTTTCGGGCGACTACGGCCTGGAAATAGCTTTCAAATTGAAGTCACCCCTGGCCCTGGCCAACCTGACCTCGGAGAATTCTCAAACTCGAATGCAATCAGCCCTGCATGCAAAACCCTGGAAGTCAGAATCGCAATAATACAAGTACATGGCAATTTGGCCCCAGAACGGAATGTGCATACCGCTATTATTTCCAAGCACTTGCAAGGTCCGAGACGGATTCTCTCGTCTGGTCCGTGTCTCATCTTTGGCCCGATCAACTCAGCCACCAGAGAAGGAAGGAGCTTCTGGGTGCCTTGTCCCTTATGATTCTTGTATTTTTCCTACCTACTAAGAGAATTATTATTATTATTAATATTAATATGAATATTAATATATTAAGATTAATGTTAATGTTAATGTTAATATTCATATTATTATTACTACTATTATTATGAGTGCTCCCTAGCAATAATATGAACCTCTCATAGCCTGGCTCCTTGTGACGAACATTACGGGCACGCCAATCCTCCCTTCAACCGGGGCTTCACAGAGACGCAGCTAAAGTACATGAAACACCTGGAACCTGTGTAGAGCGAGAGCGCAAGGAGATTCATTGTAGACAAGGCTTTACTTTGTCCACACGGCGACTTTGGGAGCTTCCTCTTCCGACAGGAAGTCTCTTCGCAAGATTCGTTCCATTCCGGCCTTATCTTTGAAGGCCACCTCCAGCGATGTCGTCCCCAACGTTACCGATACACCGAGGGGCAGTCGAAACCTCCCATCTTCGTCCATTCCAGCTGCTGACACCTGAACCGTGCTTCTGTTTCTCATGGGTCGTTGCTACATTCGCGTTGGGTAAAGCAGGGAAATGCTGGGAATTGACTTGAAAAAACCGGCCTCATCATAAACTACTATTGGCAATCACACCAAGGAGATATGGGGGGTTTCCGAAAATAGGGGCACCCTTTTTGGAGGAATTCTTTCTATACGGGGTATTAAAGGGGTACCCCTATTTAGGGAAATCCCCATATGAAGCGAATCAACACCAAAGCTCACCTCGAAGCAATCGGCGGCCACGGCCGAGTGGATCTCGTCCAGGCCCAGGCCAGAGGGTATCATGCGTGAGCCACTGACGGTGTTTACCTGGCTGTTCTTTAAAGCTTCTTGAAAACTGTCTGTGGGCAGCTCGGTATGATTCAATATCAGGAACATCTGGAAACGTTACTAAGGTAACGTCCCAGCACAACAGGCGAGACATCCAGAGAGAAACCGTCCGCGTGCCACTTCCGCTCCACGGACATCCGCAGAGTCTTAAGTTCCCACTGCTCTCCTTGCCTTCTGACGACTGTCTGGACACGAATGCGGCGGGCCAGGGCCGTGTAAACGTCCCGACAGTTGGTCTTGTCCTTGCTTGCCCAACAACCACGTTTGGGGTTTAGGGTTTTTTTACGTCAGCCATGCGCCACCAACTGTGCGTTTCGGGTTTCGGGTTTCGGGTTTAGGGTTTAGGGGCCACTATGGGGAATACCAAACTTTCGATCAGAATGTCACATGGTCAAGGAACCTGAAAATTCAAGGCTTTACTGCTGAATAGGTGAGTGTCGTCTTTGCCAGGAGGGCTGGAAGTGGCAAAGATGGTTTCAAGGCTGTAGTTTCCGGCCTCATCCAGGACATCTAGAGCAAAGGTGTCAGCAGATCCAGAGATGTCCGGGGCCCGCTCGAAGTGGTCCACCAAGACCCGAGTGAGCTCTGAGGATCAGCCAATCTCTGGGACTACCTGCAGCTGCCTCCGCTTATGTGTTGTGCCCACCAACTCTGAAACGAGAATCTCCATTCCGAGAGGTCCTGCTCCCCAGTCCAGCATTTCGGGCGGCACAAAGTTCTCAGACACTGGCAGATGCTTGCCATCTGCTGCGGAGAACTCGCATCGCCAGCCCGCCCATTCTCCGTTGGAAAAGGCTGCAAAGTCAAGCAGCAATGGAGAATCCATGGCGGCCTTTCTATGCAGGCCCTTGCAGGACTCTGCAAATGAACCGTCGTAGCTGACTAGATTCACTGCTTTTCGGGAATCCATAGGTAAACCTGATGCCCTCTTGAACTGCACAGGCAAGCTGCCAGCTTCTACAAGTATCTGCCATGCCTTTCCTGTAGCACGTCGTTGCCTTAAACTGTGATCGGCTAGCCAGGCACCAGCGACGCAGTGTGTCGGGAGATGCGTGAAGATATTAAAGATGTATTGAGTGGTCCTTCCGGCCTTCTTTCTCCAAGCCGCATTTCTGCTTGTCCTTCGTCTGAAACTGCAAGCCATCCTGGCCTCACGTTTGGGCCCGACATTTCCCGACTAATTCAGGACCTAGGGAGTTCATGCGGGTCAAGTTCAGATCATACCAACCCAACACGGCCTCGCCACATGCCAGCTCACAAACGAATCCTAAACGCGTCCGTTTTACACCAAAGCCCACTAGGGGTAAAACGCAAAATCGCAAGGGCCCCGCCAAAACGTGGGCAGTACAAGAACAAGGGGGAGGGTGGGGGGGGGGGGGGGGGGCGACCATGAGGACGGCACCCCCTGTATGCAAACATTCCTTGGCTTCGGCTTGACTGGGCACAAGGCCGGAGATGGAACGCTGTGATTCAAGGATGCTCGTTTTATGACAGTGGCGTTTGGCTTGGCTCAGTCTCTCTCTCACTTGCAACAGTCTAAATGCACGGATCGTACGCCGTAAGTGCCACACAGCATGGTTGTTAAGCAAAGATGAACCAGCAGAGTATCAAGGCACAAGAAACCTGTAGCAAGATGGCCCTTAAAAAGCCCTCAAGAGCGGACGCCCACAAAAGAAGAGAGCATGATGGATGACCTCATGCCATGAACGCCATGCCTCAGGCGCCCACCTTTGGACCTGTGCTGCGTGTACCATGTATACTCGGCCCTGGCTTCTACCAAGAGCCCGATGAAGAGAGCCACGGCCATGACCTGCGAATTCTGGGAATGGACTACGACGACTACGACTCTCCTGACCCTGTGACACACCACGCCTGCTTGCCGCTGAAGCTGCTTGAGGACAGGGAATCTGCAAAGGACTCTCTGTTGTCCATCAAGCTGTTCCAGCCCATGAGGACAATGCAGAAGCAACACCTTGCGGTGAGGTCGCCAAAGCTTCCCAACAAGTGAACAGGTGGGGAGCCCATAGCTTCGGAGCTCTTGGTGCTGCGCATCATCAGCGCAGCGCGCGGGGCAAAAAGGTCCATTGGCGGCTTGCGCAGGCCGGCAAAGTTGAGGCAGTCCCTGTCTCTGCCCAAAAGGCACAGTAGGGACACACGCGCATTCAAGAAAACGATCCCAAGCACTGCCAGACAATCTTTGCCTGACATCGCGGCGCAGAGCCTGGTGCCACAAGTGCCAGTGACAATCAGTGACGTGGCGCAGCACGCAACAACGCCCTGCTCTGCAAGGCCGGCTGCTGCCAGCAGGCGAACCTTGACGAAGTTGCGCAGAGCAGGGGTTTCCTGGACAATATCCTGCCTGGGCATGGCTGGTGAAGAACAGACATTTCTTCAGTGACTCCTCAGAACGTTGCCTTCATCCCTTCGTCCAAAGTATGAAAAGCAGGGCCCCTGCACTGCCGCAGCGGCATTCGTCGTCAAGCGTTTATGCGCAGTGCGCCTTTCAATCCCGCAATCCGCCCGGTGAAAGCACAACCTGTTTGAGGCTCGAGGAATAGCCCTGAGACCCCTGCGGAGCCGGGTGCTGTGTGAGGTGCCTGACATGACGTGCATGCGTTCAGCCACGGCGCAAGAGAGCACCTGCACAGGTTTCAGTACCCAGCCTGCCCTGCGGCTCAAACTTCTGCGTTGGATCATGCTGCCTGATCCAGCAGCACGCGCCGTGCAATTGTGGCTACAACATGCTACAACCACTACATACGCCACGTGCGGACGTGCGGAGCGGCCGGTGCGGAGGTGCTTTGAAGGCATCAACATGGTGGTTGCAGCTGGAATGCTTCCGCCGCATGTCGTCCAGCGCTAGCCTGCAAGCACTCTTCCGGAGCTCTCGACTTTCAGCGATCTCTCAGTACAACAACGCACCCCAGGGTTGCCTTTGGCAAATTCGTCCAGGGTTGCCCATGCGACCGCTATGCCGAAGTGTGTGCCAATGGCAGACCTGGATCTATGATGCTGGCTGGAGGCCCGCGTTCGTACTGGGGCCGCCACGAGAAAAAGGCAGACCAACAGATCAGACCACCTCGGCTGAGTTCCCTTTTCTTGGCAACCATGGACAAGCAGGCCTGTCTGTACGAACTGCGAGCCGCAAGCGCACCCCACGCAAGGTCCAAGCCGGGCCGCAGAATTCCCAGCAGCGAGTGCCCAACCAAACCTCGCGCTTCCAGCTGCCTGATAGCAGCAAAAGGCACCTGACAACAGCGAACTTAGTGCACTGCCTAGCATAAGCTTAGGCAGGCAAGGTGGTTAATGGACAGTGCTCAGAAAGCAGGGAATTTCTGGAGTGATGAGAACCCCAACCCAGAAACCGTGCTGCATCCCTGGCAGAGCCTGAGACTTGATTGTTTCGGGCAGCTTTGTTCCAGCCGTTCTGTTCCGATTTCAGATTGCGCACAACTCCAGCGGCCGATGCGGATTGCGTCGACAAGTTTACACATAATGACACAACACTGCCGGCGTGCCTCCTCGTTGCCCTGAATCAGTGGGCCGGCTGGAGCTACCTCAGCACAGACCGGTCGACAGGTGCAAATCTACCGCTGTCGTTGCGGTCGCGCGCCCGCAGGCCTGCCTAGGATACGTAGGGCTTTCCTGGGCCCTTTTGGCAAAGTTGGGTCATTGGGGTTTTCGCAACCCTACTAGTTAGAGCCCAAAGTGAGACGGAAATCTCAAAAAACAGAAACGAGGCTCTAGGAGGCCCTAAGCCAGAGTCATGCTGGTCTAGACCTTGACCTGTGACCTGCGCTGTGATTTTGGCACACCCTGCACCCGGACTCAAAGTGAGAGGTGGCCAGCCCGAAAGGCCCCGAAAGGAGTCACAGTGATGGCGAGAAACTCGTGAGAAAGCCGTGGCTCGTGAAGATTGTGTTACACCCCAATGCTAAGACTCTCATCTTTCTGATTTGGCCCTGTGCGCGGGTCTGATCGAAACCCCTTGCCTTGCTTGGTCTGATCTGGACTCATGGGTCTTACCCAGATTCGTACGTCGGATCGGCCGGGCTATTGGGGACATGATCTTGCAAGCAGCTGCTGAACAAGCTGAGCAGGCCTTCTCGAGGCCAATGACGGACTCCCACGGCACCGGCACGCCGTTCAACAGACCACGCTGAACGTCCACCTCTCGATGGCTGCTCTGGCTCTGCCTGCTTCAACTTGGCACAGGAGGCCTTCAGCAGCGCATAATCCAGGGACGTGGGGAATACGGGCAGCTGGTAGAGCACCTGTCTCTCCCAACGAAGGCAAGAAAGTCACGGATTCAAGCAGCGCCTTGCGCCATTCCTGTGCACAGCAGGGACGACTGGCCTGGATGAGCACCGTACAGAGGTTCAGCATTATCAGCCCCTTCCTGAGAAAGGGTGAGTTCGAGAACTTAGCCATTCTTGCATCTTGGCGGGAACAGTAACAAGATACCTATCTCAACCTAAACATGTTCGTGTCCAAGATCGTCCAAGCATCCAAAACATGGGGTGTGGATGCGGAAAGGTCATCAGAGACACCACCAAGGCGCAGCATGTCACTGCTGAGAGCACGCATGCATGCGTCGCGAACTGCACCTGCTGACGAAAGAGTATAGACCCCCTGAACTCGGGTAGGTTTCTGGGCCCTAGACTAGAAAAATCGAATCTTTGTGGCTTTATAGCATTATCTGGGATTAAGATAAGTTTAAAAAAACAAAAAACAGTGTGTCCAAACCTACCCCCGTGAAACCCTAATTCGGCTAGGCATGGGCAGGGCACGACGGCGAAGATCATCAGAAGCGGTAGCGTTTGAGACCAGAACGCCTGGCCAATGCTCTGGAGCTTGCGTCTGACCGCAGTGCAGGCTTTGGGAATCAAGGGGTTTTAGGTTGGGATGTTCCCCTGTTTTTGCTCACAGTCCTTCATGGGGGTTCTTGTATCCCCCCTACTAGAATCCCAATGATAAGGACTGTTCGTATAAAGGGGGGTTCAGGGGCGGGTTATAGCGGGTTCAGAAATGTCCAGAGAGCGCTTCCGCCTTGTAGAGCAACATAGGCAGGCCATCGTGCTTCCGATGGCTTTGCAGCGTGTCTTCCTGGGCTTGCAGCAGGTCATGCAGATCATGCACCGGACTTCGCTTTTGAGAGGCCGCAGTTTTCAGTTTCTCAAACAGATGCTCAAAGAGCTCATGCCAAGCATGCGCTTCACTAGACCTTGCTGACCATCAGGCCTGTGGCTTAAAGCTGTAGAAGGCCATTTTTGACGGGACCACTTCTTCTGGCAATGCAGCTGCGACAGCGCAAGTAAAACACATGACGCCCTACGAAGTGGTCCAGGATTGAAGCAAGTTGAGGAAATCCTAGACCGCCTGTCAGGAAACGAGTATGAAAACATATCTTCAACTCTTCATGCACGGTTGCTGGGTCTGTGGTGTAGAGGAAGTCATCCACCAGTGATCCCAGCGCGCTGCGTGCTATTTCGAAGCATCGGGCCTGTGGCCAGAGTTTGCTGAGTGATGAAATGCTTTGACTCTTGATGACTCTTGCAAGCGGCCAGAGCACCTTTACGCCAGCGAAGAAAATGTTCTTGTCCTGGAAGCTTGCATGCAAGCATGCTTGTACAATGCGTCTTTGACCCTTCGCCGTACAGTGTCTTACCTTTCTTCCGCTGTGAGGGGGGAAATTTTGGGTGATACTTAAAGTACTGGCAGGGAACTAGCCCATGACGCATGCCACTCAAAGCAGCTCCTTCACCGAGGCAGTCGCTTTGATAAAGTTGTCGCCAAGCAACGAGTTCTGCCGGCGGAACTTGGGCCTCACGAGGCCAACTTGAAGTAAAGGCGATGCCGCTTTTTTCGAAGGCTCTTTTGGGCACCTTGCCTACGAAGAGGAACTGAGTCGTGCTCCATGGGCACGGTAGAGTCTTCCTCAGATTGGTCTTCCGCACAGGACACACGGAAAAGAGAGGAATCACAAACTAAAAGTATCCAGCGCGCTACTCCAAAGCACACAAAGAGCACATCTCACAGCAGGATGTTGTGAGAGGTTCTTGCTTGGAACAGCTTGGCCCCGACGCAAAAAGCCGGATAAAGCAAGGGCTCCATGATTCTAGCAATCCTTTCCCGCGTGCCTGGACATCTACTTGAGGCCCCTGAGGCCTCCCTCAGCTGTGCCGAGGCTCCGAGTGAGTGGCTCCAGCTGAAGCTGCAATGACACCCTCCTGCACTTGCAAAGTCTTACGGCCTGAGCAGCATTCTCCTTTTGCTTGGATTTGCAGCCGCGCCTGCGCCGCGGGAGCTGCTGCATCCCACACAGCCTGCTCCGACCATTGGGTGGCAATAGGTCATTTCGCTTAGAGCTTAGGGCTGCTGGCACGTTCTGGAGCAATGACGTGCAGGTGCCTCTCCGGCTCGGGCACAGCGCTCAAGCAATGAGGTTTTTCGTTGAGACACCTCCTCGCCAGGGCGACGACTCGATCAGGCTATGCGGATGTACGCGCTTGTGTTGTTGCTTCCTTGGGCCCTATGATCTTGAAGGATTGGCCGTCGACTGTGTTGGTTTGTGGTGCGCCCAGCACCAAAATTGCAACTCTCCAAGCAAAACACCCGCCAATCCTTGAGTTTTTGGGACTCGAAAGGCGACAGGCTTCCGAAAGCTTGAGGCTGCAAAAACAAAAGGCGAGTTGTCCAGAGTCCAGAGTTCGGAGCTATTAGACCAAGGTCCTGAGCAGAGATTCGACGCAGTCGTTGCAGTTGAAGGTCCTAGGACATCCCACTGGCTCTGTACGAACAGGGCAAATTCACAAGCTGCACTCAAGCTGTGACCGCTTTGCTAGGGATTGCTAGGGTCCTTCAGGTGCTCGCAGACGCAGTCGTTCACCTCTTCTGTGGCTTCGAGCCGTGCCACCTCCAGGATCACTCAGTGTCCCGCAAGTAAAGCGATCACTTCCATGCAAAACATGTCTTGTCCCAAGAACTGGACCCCGAGCGCCCTATTCCACCCCAGTGTGGAGCTTTTCTTGCGAGAAGCCTAAGGGGTTGCCGCTTAACTACGACTGCACCACCCATGTGTCGCCACGTGCGCCACACCCTCGGGTCTCCGGAATCAAGTCTCAGCTGCCATGATCGGCCCATCTCTTCGCGCATCTTGTGAGCAGTTCGAGCTCAACAAAGAAACGGAATGAAGGATTTCGTCGAGGCTGCGTATGCGGGCCAGTCCACCTTATAGCGCTCCGACAAGTACTGTTCCTTATCAGGAATGTGATAGAAATAAAATGAAGCGGCCATGACAACAGGGGCCCACAGATTCCACCAACATCCGGTAGCCGCAGCCCAGCCCAAGAACAGCAAAACATCACCGAGGTAGTTGATGTTCCGGCTCAGGGAGAAGAGTCCTAAAGTGTAGCAGCGGCCCTTGTTCTCAGGTTTTGCCTTCCACCACTTTCGTTGGAGTTCCGACCAGGTGTTGACAAAAGAGCCCAAGCAGTACAAAGCCACAGCCAACGAAATGCTTAGGTCGTCCGGGGTGCCCGTGAGCAGCGCGCCAGCACCAAACGACACGAGTATCGTCAGAATCCAAAGAATCACCACCGTGAGTTCCTCTGTGGCCAGCTCTCGGGGCAACAGCCACCGTGCCATGACATTTAAGCGAAGCATGTATACGACTCCAAATACGAACAGGACCTGGCAGCGCCATGCATCTTTGGAATGCCCCGGCCACTGCATCTTTGGCCACAGCAGGATGCATCCATAAACCCCTAGAACGCATAGGGACTCAAGTGCAAAAACGTTGGCCCGCAGCATAGACGATCGTGGCGAACTGCGGAAGGTTTCTGGTCCATCCATGGCTTGATACCCTGCCGCCTGCGGCATGTCGGCTAACCAGATCTGACTAAGTTCAATTGTGGAGGTGACATCTTCGGATTGTTTTCCCTTTCCCTGACTCTTTTCCTGGAAGCCACACTTGTGTGCCGTTTCGCGCACCGAGGTGGCAGAGGCGTTTATGCAAGCTGTGCTCAAACAGAGATCGCTGGAAAGGTGCAAGAGACTGCAGGAGGCCTCCACTGCCTTTGCATTCTTGGCACAGGACTCCTCGAGAGCAAAGCTGAGCAGACCGAGTTCCGAAAATAGGGGACGAGCAAGGAAGAACCCCAAATCGTAGGATCTCCTTATAATTGGACCCCCATCTGGAGCAAGCAGACCCGTATCCGGTCTCCTTCCTCCCAACCCAACCCAATGCAGAATGACGCCACCCCCCCCACCCGCCCTGTCCAACCCCCCAGCTGCAAACCGGTACCGTGGAGGGTCCCGCTGACACACGCCTTTTACTGGGGGGAGTTGTTGACCCCCCCCCCCCCCCCCCCCCCCCCCCCCCCCACACCCCGGCCGGCCCGGCTGCCGAGGCAGCGCGCGCAAGCGTTTACAATGAAGCTCATTCATGCACATGAAGGCAGACTTGTATTGAGCTGTGGCCCCTTTTCCATCCTGCCTTGTCGGTCTTGGAGCTTGGGCGGATTTCTGACAAGGAGTCGGCACATGCCAAGCTGCTCAATGCGCATGAGATGTCGTCAGAATGGTCTGCGCCTTCATGCGAGCTGTGCAGCAGGAGGTCGCAGTGAGGCCCGGCCGCTTTGGCAGCTGCTTGCATGAAGGCCTGGCGTTTGCTGAATTTTGACACTTCTGCGAAGCAGGCACTGCGCAGCCTCCAATACTGGCCCTGCTGCCGCGGGCGGGAGTCCGCTGGAAAGGCACAAGTTGTGCATGCGATCTTCGTTCGCCCTGCAAATCGGCTCATAAGTAAAGACTGCAGATTGTGGTGTCATTCAACCGTGCCTGCTTGCTCGCTCATCAGCCGTCAACTCGCCACGTTGATTCTGCCAAATTGCTCTCAACCTCTCAGGCTGCAGGTACTCACAGAGTGCCTTTTGAATTTGTCACAGCTTCTTGGCTTGCGGCTCTGTGATGAAGGCCTTGGATTGGGAGTCATGAGTGCACCTACCCGGACACTTCTCGAGCTGTGCGTGTCAGGTACCATCCCTCCCCGAAACGCGCAAAACCTCCGAAGCAAAAGGAAGGCGATATCAAGGTGAAGGCTGTGAGCGACCGCAGCTTGACCAACAGGACCTCGGTACACGATTCCCAGTCTAGCACAAGCTGCAGTGAGTGAGTGAGTGCATTTGCAGGGTTCATCACCGGCACAGAATTACACGGCAAGCCTTGTGTTTGGTGTCAATCCTTCGCAATTCCAGGCGTCGCCAGTGCAGCAAATGCTCCTCACTCTCATGGCGACCCCAGGAACTGGCGCCAAACGAGAAAAGAAGATCGCTTGAACTCTCCTGGTACCAGCGCTCTCGGAGGTCAAGTCGTTCGATCTGCCAAGGGGTGAACACCAGATGAACACCAGATAGATCCAGGTCCAAGCGTGATCAAAGCATTGCCCTGCAGCTGCCTGGGCTTTGTTCTCTGCTTGGAAGTCCTGCTGCCATCTTTCAAAGGTGAGGGCCTCGAGAGCTCTTCAAACCATTGCTCTCAAGCCGCAAAACCACGCTCTCAAGCTCTTGCATTGGCAAGAGCGCAGCGCAACTGCACAACGGCTGGTTCTCGAGGTTCGGGGTCATGGCTTTACTCTGGCATTCGGGTGTACGTATCCCCTAGCCCACAGGCATGGGGCATCACTTTGCTCCACTCTTGCCTGCAAGTTGGAGAGGAGGAAGATCATGAATATCCAGAAGTTGGCCCAGCTGAAGCTGACACCTGCGCAGTCTAGGAAACGCCACGGCTTTCTGACTGACTGCGGTCGGCTGGCGGCAGTCAGCGACTCAATGACATCCATGACTACACACCTAACTTCTGCTGTTCACAGGACACTGTCACCTCGGGTTCTAGTGATACAGCAACCGACCTAGTGAAAGTGTCGCAGATATTGGCAGACCTGCCTCTACATCCTATGCCTCGGGATTCTCCGGGCCTTCATGGAACTTCTGCACACCAAGCGATCCAAGCAGAACTGTGAGCGGCCGCCCTCGGAGCGAGGTTGAGGGAGTCTCCACGAGTCATCATGAAACTTCAGCTCCCGGCAGCCAGCCCGCCAGGCGGTACTATCATGCGCTGCCAACCTCGGCGACGTTCTGCATAAATCGCGTGAGGCGATGCTGCAGAGAGTCGAACAAGTTCAGGCTTTTTCAAGCACTCAGCTTTGGACAGTCTGCAAACGTCCGGGGAAACGTAGAAGGTCTCTGGACAGGTCTGGCAGCAACGGAACAACAATCAAGCAACTCGGGGTTGCTGGCAGTAGGCAGGAATGGCCCAGTCTGTTCAAAGCAGCGGTCTGCATGGGACGATGTGATCTGACGGCATCTGGTTGGCACACAACTCTTGCCTCCTGACCGCAGTCCACCAGTTCAACTGCCTCAGAAACCAACAAAAACCTTCGGTTCCCCTAAACCCTAAACCCTATAAACCCTAACCCCGAATCTTTCTTGCCGGTTCCTCCCACCCACATTCCTCCCTGATGCCTAACAAAACTAGGCCTCCCTGTTGATACAACTTCTAGTAGGATTCCGGATGACAAGGTCTCGAATTGAGAACAGCCACGAACAACCTTTATGCATGATCCCAGGGGTGGAGGCCATTAGGATGCAAGTCTGAGCAGAGCAATCTGCATGTTCAGGCTCTGGCATACGCGCAAGGCACCACTGGGGCTTGGAAGCACACCAGCATGAACGCCACCACCTTGCAATCAGCTTCTGCACATAGCCAATTAGCCTTGACTGGCACCTGTGGCACTCTGAGGGTCTCGACCACGTTGTACGTTCGGATCCACTTGTTGACTCGCATCCGGGATGCCCAGGAGGAGTCAACAATTTGGACCTGGCAGGTGGTGGCTGTTGTTGCTGTTGTCGGTGGTGTTGCTGCTGCTAAAGCGGCTGATGCTGCATCTACACAAGCAACTGCGCCCGCAAATCCGTCGATTCGCTAGCCTCTTGCCGGAGCTAGTGGGCATACTCTCGTGATCTCCTGCTTTAGCTTGTGCAATGTGGACACCCAGCAGACACAAACGTCTTGGAGAAGGCTCGACAATTGCGAATATTTGCGGATTCGCTCGAGGATGTAATTCCCAAAAAGCTGGGCCCTTCGGACCCCAGACTCTGGGCGAAGGATGCCCTACCAACAGCTTCCTGCTGTCGCAAGCCACAGCGAAACAACAAGGAGGTGCTCGTGAGCCCTTGGCAAAGATAAGACCCTGGAAGGAGCTCCCTTTGCCAAGGTCTCGGGAGCATCTCGAAGCAAGGCAAAGAATCGGGAGACGCTGCAACAGAAAGTCAGCAAAACAGTCCGCGGGTTTGTAGGGCCAAATTCGTAGCTTTGGAATGTTTGGGGTACGTGGTACTTGGGGCCGCTTGCAGGCTTGAAGACTTTAAAAGGCTTCGCGCACACCGAAGCGAAACACAGACACACGTGCATCTCACTGCTGAGTTCGGCACACTCTCCATGGAGAAGATGTACCAAACGAGAAGTGTCAAGTAGCCTGTGCTGCGTAAGGGCCAAGTGGAAATCACGGGCAGGTCTAAATAAGAACACACAAGGAGGCACAAAGATTGTGACCAGCAGCCCAGCGAGATGATGCTGACCTGTTGCTGCCTTGGCTAGGCATGGTGCAGAAAGGAGGCAGGTTGCCAACTTCAACTTGTGCACACAAATTTGAGCCGGCTTCAGTCTCAGAATAGCTGCTGAACCCTTGTGGGTGCCGATGGGTATTGTCTTTTTTTTGGCGGGGAGTGGGGGGTAGGGTCGGGGGGTGGGGTCCGGGGGCGGGGGGGCTATTTCCTCCATCTTTTCTTCAACATGTGCTCTGTAGCCTGCGCCTCTTTGTTTCATGAGCTGGTTTTCCTTGCTTTGCGATGTTCCTGACTCCACCGCTCTATCTCATGTCCTTCATGGTCTTTGCAGATTCTTTAGAAGTGAAAACTCCGATTTTTCTACAACATTCTTCATAGCAAACCTACTTTAACTTATGAAGCTGAGCCCCTCCATAATCCTCCAGAACCCCTTGCCTGGTACAACCCCTAAGCTGTCACGTCGCGTAGGATGGGGGTCAGGGGGGGCAGGCGCAGAGGATGGCGAGCATCCGCTTGACGTGTCGGGCTGGGCCGTTTGTCATATGTGTATTTCAAGCAACAAGGGACATGGTTTGAAAACGTGGAAATCAATGAGTCGTAACTAACATGTGAGCAACTGTATTGCCCTAAAAGCAGCAAGAGTCCGCTGGCCACCTTTCCTGCAACAGAGGGGCTGCACTGCTGCCAGGGCGAGCGAAATGTTCAGCATCGCAGAAATCCATCTTACAGCCGTTCGCCTGTTCCGACGCGCGCATACATGTGCACGCACACCCAGAGCCACATGAGAGATCACGCAATCCGATCTCTTCTGGATATCCTTTGCCTTTGACTGAGTGGCTGGCGGTGTGATTCTGGTGTACTGCCGTGAAGCCTCAAAGGCATTTCAGGGTTCAGAGATGTTCAGAGCACGCCGATGAGGATCAAAGGTGAAGCCTGCGAGGCCGAGCCGTCCTGCAGCGTTGACGAGTCTACTTTAAAGACTCTGCATGGGATGCAGGGAATGAGGGTGATTATGCGAGATGAGGCGAACTGAGCTCGTATCTGCAGCCATGATATGAGCAGGGCCTCTTCACACGAGGAAGCGACCCCTTCATCCTCGTCCTCCTGTTCGGACTGCCACTACTACGGTGCGCATGAATAGCTATGACAGAAGGCTCACAACATGTACACGCATCTGTGACCAAGCGTCACCTCCTCGGAACTTGTCCTGAATTGAAAGTGACTTGAAGGAGGAATGTGTCAGACATCCACTGCTGCCATCTGTGCGCAATACATAGCGGCTAACTTAAGGACTCTTAGGCGAACCCACTTCAGTGGGAAGCCCACGTTCCATTTTTACGACCCCCCCCCCCCAAATGGATCTAAAACAGCCAAGGATCGACCCAGCTCTCTCCCTCTCGTCCTTTGCTTGGCTGTGCAATTGAGTGAGGCAAAGATGCCGGAGCAAGCACACCTGGGAATCGCGGAGCACCCAATTTCATGACAAAACTGCTTCACCTACTCCGGTGTGCAAGTGCCTGGGCCCTAGACGCAAAACAAAGCCATGAAGGTAAGGGTCACATCAGAATGGCCCTGAAGATGCGAGCACTGACATGGGCCTGTCCAATGTAAGATGGCAGGGGCGAGCCTGGGTTGGCAGGCCCAGCCACGACATCCAGGTCTTTCCGCATTCTTGCTTCGAACAGCCTGCATCGAAATGCCGACACAGGCCGGGCCTGCCCGGACAGTGTGCTCCTAAAATCGCTGCACCTTCCGCGCCGCATGATGCTGGGTTGTCCAGCACTGTGTGGCCGTGGTAGGCCTTCCATGATCTGCCACATGCGCCCTTATCGCGATTCGCAGCAGTCTCTGTGGAGCCTGGCAGAACCAGCCGGCAATGTCCGCAGCAGTTGGCCTGACCAAAATGCCTGGAGGCAACCAAGCCTGCATCGGGGAAGCTTCAGGATTTAGGGCCCTCTCAGTTGCAATGCTGCCGTTGGTGCACCTCAAAGGAAAGCGACGTGGCAAGACTCCTGACGACACAAGCATTGTTCAGTGATGAAATGCGGACCACAAGTCTCAACCAGCAGCGCAAGGTGCTGCCAAGCATCAGCGCAAGCCAAACCACGAAGAACCTCGCAACACTTGCTACGAGAGGAATAGGAAGCCTGACTGAATATCTAGACACTTCGGTAACATGCAAAGCCGTGATGTCAGCTGGCACTGCCTCAGCCAAGAATTTGCCGCACTCGGGGAGAGGCAGCGCCGGCTGTCCTGAACACCAGCTGTCGAGGCATTTTGCTGGGCAAACGTTCTGCTTCTCTAATTACGACGGAAAGCCGCCTTGCTCCATCTGAACAAGAGCACGCTGCCAACGTACACCACTGACCAGGCCTCGGACCATGGGAGTGCAGGAATGCACTACGCAAGAGCGCGCTGCTCACTTAAAAGCCGAGGCACGCTGTTGCAGAACAGCGCTGTGAGCAGCAGAACCTGAAAAAGACGCCACTCGCGCAGAATCAGACAGCAGATCGCCGATCTGTTGAACGCTGTCGGTCCACACTGGTTTGGGGAATGCGCTCACTTAACTTGCGCTTGGTTGGCAGTGCTTGGAGGCTAGCATCAGGGCTGCACCTGGCTTTCCTGTTGAGGGAGTTGCTAAGTGCCTGGCAGCTGCACCAAGTTGGGCACTGTAGGCTACGGTCTCCTGCACAAAGGCAGAGTCCAGCGATGTCTGCTTCGGCACCAGAATTCCGAAGGAGTGGAAAAGACAACCTGAAGACAATTTTGTTGGCAGCAGTGCCAACGCTTTGTACCGGAACGTGTGAGACGCCAGGGCCAGGCCTCTGGTCTCCTGCACTGCTCTATGCCCCAGAAAGCAGTCTCATAGCTTCTCAGAGCTTCGCTTGCTCTTGAAACCTATCCTACTCTGAACCTGCCGCAGCTGCTTCAGCTCACAAAACTCTGCGATCTTACTCTCCAGGTGTGCGTACCGGGTAGATCAAGGGCACCTGGACAGATGTATCAACAGCGTCGTCTTGAAGTCTTTGGCCACATTTTGCTGCTTGCTTCAACCCTGCAGCGTCAAGCCACCATCTGATGCATGTAGACAAAGGCCCAGAACAGCCACATGCCTCAGCTTGCACGCTGCGGCAGCACTTTTCATCTGGGGCTCGAACGTGTTAGTAGTGAACTTGCTACCACCGAAGGTTTACTCAATCATGCTCTATACATCTTCACTGAAGCCGTGGGGCAAGTCGTTCCTGTGCAAACAACCACCATTGCCAGCTGCGAGCTTTCTTCCTTTGTTATCCTGGGTGACTCCTGACTGGCAGTTTGAAAGCTTCTGGAGCCAAGACAAGAACAGCAACGGAAAGCGTCCTTGACAAAGCATCGGAAGGCAATCCTCATAGCAATCAGTCCAAAGACCAGCCAACCAGCGGAGCCTCGGGGCGAGGTCGCTCTCAGTGAGTGTCTGCACACTTCAGATTTCGGGAAGAGCAGAAAGCCGAAAACAAAAACAAAAAATAGAATAGAAGCCCAATCTCTAAACTCTCCACTCCAAAGCACACTAGCAGAAAAAACAAAGCAGAATAGAAGCCCTAAACCCTCCACCCCTAAAGATCATGATCTCCAAAGCACCATATAGCAGGCCCGGAGCCATAAATCCATTGCACACCATTGCTCCGGGATGCTCCGCGAATCCGAATCTAGTGGGCTCGGTCCGGTACACTTCAGCTGCAAGCCAAGATAACCAGGGGGCTGCACATGGGCAGATGCTCTAAATTATGGTCCCGTTTGGGGGTTCCTTGTACCAACTCACGGCGTGGCTACTAGGGCAGGCGTACATCCCCCAGCAGGAAAGCAAGGATCCCATCCTGACGAAGCCTCTGACTCCGCCCTCTTGCCTGCCAGGTCGGCGTGTGTAGTAGGATTTGGGGGTTTAAGGCTAAAGGCTTAAGGTTTTGGGATCTCAGGTGACTCGCAGATGCAATGAGCCGTTTGAAGCACTCCAGCCTCTTGATCAATCTCTGCAGCGGCAGGCGAGTTGGCCACACAATGCCTGATTCGTTGGCTTGCTTGCTGTCATTGCTCAGTAGGCCGACCGCCCTCTTTTGCAGGCTGTCATGCAGAAAGGAGCGTCTAGCTGAGCTTGCCACAGTGCTGCTCGTTTCACCGTTCGCTGCACGATGCCAATCAGCAGCAATGCCATCTCTGCCACGTAGCCCCTGGAGCAGATTGTGGGACATCACTAGTGCTCGCGGCAACGGATAATTAGATCTGAGTGGGCTGCTGGTTATGGAGACCCCAGTACGACTCCACCTCCTGCATATGTTCAATGGCTCGGTCGGCAAAATTCTGCAGTCCTCATGGCAAGCCTGATTTGGAAACGTGATCAACTTGAAGGTGTAGATGTACTGCACGAGAAGCAAGACCTTGGCAGAAACCAAAGGCGGAAAGGGCTGACAAACCGACAGTCAAACCAAGAGGAACTTGGTAAGGTGAAGGCGGAGGAGGTCAGTGAGATGAAGCCACCTGCATAGTCCCAACCTCGTCCGCCTCGGCTTTCTCAGTGAGGCTAGATGAACCCTGTGTGATTCTCCGTCCTTGCTTCCACGGCCGAGCTGTTCTGAGATAACGTTGAGAACAAGACAATAGCTCTTGCACATGTGACGCGACATCGTACAGGAAGGCTTGTGTCGGGCTCTGCAACCGAGCCGTGTCTTTCTCCGCTTGTTCTGGGCATCTCTGCCAGCGTCGATTCGTTTTCTAGAGCCATGCCCGAACCCGATGATGACACTCATGAGCATCCTTTCGTGGGAAACTGCCCGAATCCTTGCAGAGCATCCTTTCCCCAACGCCGTCCATTTGCAGAACCGAAAAAGGGTTTTGGCCATGACAACGTCAAAGTGGACCTCATATCAATGTCCCTCCACTCGTGGGTGGCATTTGTGTCTTGAGTTTGGGGCACTGGCGATGATTTGCGGATTCGGGTTTAGGCGATCCGAATTCAGACTTCGTTCGTTGGGAATGCGAGTTGTCTCCCTCACATCGGTGTCAGTGAGATGGGCCTGGAAAGTATTGGTTTGAGCTGTGGCACAGCTGCAAGCTTATGAAAATACATACTCTGGGGCTGAAGCAGCAGAGGGATCTTAGACAAAGGTCACTGAGCCCAGCACTCAGCAGCAGCAGAATAAGAACAGCCAGCTGCAAATGGGATGTGGCATTGTGCCGCCTCGTAATTTGCCAGAAGTTAGCTGCTTGCACAGATCCCAGCATGTCAAGCTGTATCGGCGACCGCCTCTTCTGGTCTCACGCAGATCAGGCAATGTTCTCTTGTTCTGTCTACGTACTGAAGCTGTGATGCAAATATTGGCAAGTCTCACCGAGGCTGCAGCGGCATGATGAAATAGCAAGTGAAGATCAGCACCACAGTCGACCATCGAGCGGCCTCTTTCTTCTATTCGTAGCCCTCAACCGAACTTCGCGTTGCAAGTCAAAAGTCTGGTCGGTTCTGAGCTCAACCCGATTGCCCTTATCAGTGGTTCCAAGAGCAGGCTCCAGACAATCCCTCCAAGTTCCCCTTGAGCTTGCTTATGCCTCCTGCGGCCGCACTTCTGGTTGAAGCTATAGAGGATGGTTGTGTTTTTTAAACTTGGGCCCCCGTTGCATTCTCTGTGAAAACAGCATGCAGCATGCATGCCATGTCGGGACGCATCCTACTTTACAGTATTTTACCTTTCGCAGTCACATTGCACAGGGAGCCTCCAGCAGCGCTGTCATTAGCACCTGAGATGCATCGAATTAAGCGATGAGAGCAACTCCCTGTATGCTTCAGCGACAATCTGGTTGCGATCCAGGGCGCTTTCTTCCTTTGCAGCAAGACTTGGCTGCGCGCCCCGATGAGGCTTGCCTCTCATTCCGTGTGGGTCAGAGTGCTTCCACTTCTGCTGCACTTGCTCTCGCTGCACGGAATTTCAACGAAGCGGACACTCACTACGAGATACTACTAGCAAAAGAAACTCAAAGCTGAGGCTTCAGCTTCAGAGCCGAATCGAAAGACACGCCGCCTCGGCAACACGCGGCCGTTGGGCCTGCGGTGCCTTTGTCCGCACAGCTCTTTTCTGAGGTCCTTGCAAGCCACTGGAGAGTGGCACCAATGTTGCCACGTACCCCAACTTCACGCGAACCTGTCGGCGCCCATGCACAAGGCACGCCAAGCAATTACGTTATATATATATATATATATGTATGTATGTATGTATGTATGTATGTGTATTACACACATATACATGTACATGGCATTTGTTGATCTATCGATATATATATATATATATGTGCGTATGTACATATATATATATATGTGTGCATGTATATATATACACACACATTGTTAAGCTCAAGGAACGTTTAACTGACCTTCGAAAACGTGCGGCCTCGAGCCTAGTGTCGTCCAAGGCAAGGCCCTGTGGACTGCTCAACAGCATCTCAGATGTTAATGCCCGAAGAGACGAACGCAACACGAGACCCCGAGGTCTGCCTTCCACACTGCAGGAAACTGCTCCTTTGGCAGTGGTGAGTGCGGACCGCCAATCCATTCCTGTACCTCACTGAAAACATGCATTGAATCATTGTGGCATTGGTCTCCGATTCTCCGATCTGAGCACCTGAGGTCTACACATACGGGATCAGCAGCAAGTATCGAGCCAGCAAGATCAAGGCGCAAGTAAATGCGGTGGCTGTGAGCAACCAGTTTCGCCTAAGTTCCCAAACTCATGCCCACAGCAAATTGTATACGCAGATGACTCCAGAACATGCCAACATGGAGCATGCGCAGCGACCCGTTGAATTGCTCCACAGCGACAATGCCTTCAAGGCATGTCATGAGGGGCCGTGAGGGGCATGTCGCGCATGGAACGTCGCCATGTGTTGCGTGTGATCCTGGCCTAGACAAAGAACCAGGATGCAGCAGGAGTCCACAGTAAAGGGCTGGATCATTACCATGTTCAACATCACGCCCATCTCCTTGGCTTCACGAAGCCATACACCACCCCTCAAGCCCAGAGCAGCTGCAGTAAACCCTCTAAGGTGGCTAATAACGGTATAGACACATACCCAAGGCCCACTGACTGGATGCCCTGGGCGCGCCGAGTCGCGATGAAAATCCCACCGATCCACAGAAACAGGGCCTTGGATCAGAGGCTCAAGTCATGTTGAGGATTCTGGGCGCGTGAGGAAGGAAAAAAAAAGATGCCAAACTCCAAAAGTGTCCGAGACACTAAAGCAGAGTTGGAGTTCACGTACATGGCAGGAATCTGCACCTTCAAGGACAGTGCCTGCGTCTGTATGGCTGCCAGCACGCCCACAACCATGTGAGCCCATGTGACCTGGCGGGTTCCAAAGCTGCGCAATTTGGCACCTTTTGCAAGGGAATCAGTGAACCGATGCAAGCTCGGCCTCCATAACAGTCTGCGTGGAGCGCTGAAGACCGAAAAAACTGTCGTGGTTCTGCGAATCCATGACCTTTTTGTTTGAGATTTGGTGGCTTGCCATCCGAATGAGAAGTGGCGGAGGCACAGTCCGTTCAAGAGCTGTGATGCTGGGCGCGCTACTTGGCAATAGAACAGCGCCAGGACAATCACATTGCTGATCAGCAGCACGCCTGGAAGGGTGACAGGTGAATCAAACCAGCCGATCTTCGTTGTTCTCTAAACCGATGGTCTCTTACCATAGGCGACCCCTTGTGAAAGTGACCACGTGCGGAATGGCACACTTTTACTTTTCCAACTTGGAGCTGCGCTTCGCCACATGGCGGCATTGGATCGCAGCGCGTCCCAACCTGGAAGTGTGATCACATGCTTGGATCTCGGCACGACTTTGAAGTTTTGGGCCCAAGCCAGCACTGACATACGAGGTCATAGCACCAAACGCCACCAAGCCAACAAACCAAAGCCTTGCAGCGGCTCTGTAGGAAGCTACATAGGACGACAATGGATGCAAGTCTCCTGCTCTATTCGCGAGTCAACTGTGCCCGACTACTGCTTGCATGCAGGTAGCAGGTACGCTAGGCCGAGGAAGTTTGCTGGCTCTTGCCCAAAAGCAACCTCAGGAAGGAAACTGTAAACAGTATAATCAGCATAACTAGCTGCGTGCTGAGCTCATGGCCATTGCAATGAAAGCCATAGTGATGGGGCGTAAGAACGCAATGACCTGGCACATGCGTGGTTGCAGACTGCCCAACACCCAGAACACAAATCAACGGCTCAAGTGCTCGTAGTGAGCGCTGCCTTGCGTACCCAAGTTGAGGTACGGCCTGCACAGTAGTTGTCAGCAAGTTGCCAGCAAAGCTCTAGGCTGGAAACACACAAATCAGTGCCTGAGAAGGCTGGTGCTCGATAGTCAACTGGGCCAACTGGGCTGTCACCCTGCGAGGTGGGAAACAACATGCACAGGGAAACCCTGCCCGATCCACGGACAGAAATTGCCATCAGCCTCGGCTGCTTGAGATCTGGCCTTTGCCGCAAACACCTGCAAGAGCCGGCTATTGACACATAGGCCAAACACGGTCTACACACATGCAGGGAATGATTCCTCTCATGTCCTCTCTTTACCTCGAGGCTCTTCGAGGGCTTTCATGTCTGTACTCAGGTTCAAACCAGTGCAGGTAATCAGTACCGCCACCCCACAAATGAGATCAGGGTGGAACGCGGCATGAACCACCAACGACACGTTGACATTGAGGTCCGACCAGCACAGTGATTGCATGGAAATACTCCCAAACTCCCTTGGTGGTTCGGACCACGTCGTGGCATTGTTCGCTAGTCAGACGAGAATGCCACCTGCAACAACTGTCCTCACCGCTATCCTCATCCACCGCGCTACGACCCTTCCAGGCCCTGCAACTTTCGGCTGCCGTACAATTTTTGGATCACACCCCCGTTCTGCACACTCCCTATGAACCCGACTATAGCTCAACAATCAGTACACAAAGCGAACCGTACATATGCCTCAAAACACAACTAAACCCTTGCCTGGCAAGACCGCCTCCGCACAAAGGCCGCCCCACACAGCATGGCCACACCCTGACTTACGTAAGCTTGGGTTCTGGAATTGAGGGTACTTTAGGTGACTAGGGACATAAGGTTCCTCGAATGAGGCTATAGTTGAGGAGGGTTGTGGTATTCACGCATTGAGAGTATTCGGTGCAGTAGGGAGTGTAGGATATTCAGGGTCTGGGAGTGCATGCGGTTTCGAGGGGCCGCGGGTTTAAGGTTTGGGAGGTTTCAAGCTTTGTGCAAGCAGAGTTGACGGTTGTTGGTCTTGCTGGTAGGCGCTGGGAATCTGAGGTTGACTGCAGGTTTCAGTGGTTTAGGAGAACTGAAGGTTTTGTGATGAAGCTTTTGCCTTGCAGAGCACAACTTCATGAGCCGCGTGCCTGCCCAAGGGCGAAAAAATAGCGTCGTAGTGAAGGCCGGAAAGGCCCTGGCGAGAAGGACACGAACGTCGCCACACCACCCCCCTCAGTTTGGTTGACAAACCGGCTTTGCACACAGCCGGCCTTCACGTAGATAGCATTGCAGTCCGGCTCTTTCCAGCCACGTGAAAGAATTCGGCACACTGGAGAGTGGAAGATCATCGACATGGCAAACGATGTTGTAACCTGAATAGGGGGGGGGGGGAAGAAGACTGAAAAAACAACATGCCCCCCCCCCCCACTGATACAAGACAAAATTTTCAGTCCGAGTGTGGCACAGTACCAGACAAGGCTACAGAGCACCTCATAGACCAATGTGCCCTGGAACATGCCAAGCCTTAGCCAACCACGTCACGACGCTGCTGGGAAGGCTAACATGCAGACATCGGGTCCAAGGAAACTGGAGGCCCGAACGGAATGTATTGCATAGGTACATGAAGTACAACCAGGGCTCCGATCCTGAGCTGCGGATAATCATGACTATACTCCCCTTAGAACCTTAATAAAAACAATATGTGTAATATCCTCTTGGGTAATATAAACAAAAATAAAAAAAAATCCCAAGGGGGAAATAGATGAAATTGAGGAGCTTGCATCAAAGCTAAGCCCGGAACACGAGCGGCAGAGTTGCTAGCGATGGCCAGACAGATGGCAAGGCCAGCCTCACTGATCAAGATATCAAGATTCATGACGTGCCCTGCCTGTCATGTCTATTCGTGTGTGTGTTTGGTCTTCTTTCCTGATGCGATCGCGTGCCAGAAGTGAACTCTGATCACGACATTCTCTGCCGTACAAGCAGCTGAAACTTGACTTGTCTAACGTATTCCTCTTTACCAGTCAGCCAGGCCGCATGGAGAACAACAAAACGAAAGTGGAACCACTTGCTGCACTCACCTGCAAGGGACCGGAAGTGAAGGGTTGTCACGCATGTACTGTAGAATCGATCAATTACCGATAATAAAAGAACAGACTGACATGTATACATATTATAGGACCGTATTCCCGCAAACTAAGGCTGAGTGGGCCCACCCGCTCTGAACGTCGCTTGGTTGCTGAGATGCGTGTCTTGCGCAACCATCTAAGGATTTCGTGATAGGGTGGAGCCTTCGTTTCGTGGAAACCAAGTCAGAGTGGGCCTGTAAAAGTTCCGAGTTCCCAGGATCAAAGGGGTCACGCTCCGAATGCGCCCAACGTTTCATGGCAAACGGCAACACGGAAACGAAATTATCCATTGGATCTGACCGGCCTTGTCAAGAATGACGGCTGACCAGCTCGCTGCATCCTCCTCCCGCACAGAAATGGACATCGTTTGGCCATGCAGCCGGCACGAATGCAAGCGCTGGCGTGTTTTTGGCATTGGTGGTGCCTTTTGGAGGCTCCACAGCATCAACACACCATGTCATGGGACCATATGGGACTTCTGTTTGCTTGACCCCCTCGTTTGTTTCTGACCCCTTCTCTTTCCACGCCCGCACCCGTCCACTCTTTTTCTCGTCCCCCACCTATCCTCCATTTTAAAACACAGACGGCGCTGTTGATGCAGTTGTGCTCCAGCACTGGACCTTTAAGATTTGTTTTGGCTGCTTGGCCTGTCTTTAGGCTGTAGGTTTAGCTTAGGCCTGGCTGTGGCTTGCCTTCTGCCAAGCATCAGTCAACACCCTGGACGTTCGAATCTTCAGGGAACCCAAACCCTGCAAGGGGGTGAAGACTGCCGGGGAGCGGGGGGGCTTTCAATCCGCAAACGGACACCCTACAAAGACACGAATTACACACACCCACCAATTTTTCGAATGGGTGGAAAAAATGACGGCTGAACCCAGCTGTGTCCTGTGGCGTCTGGCAGCTTCCGGTCGAAGCAACCTCAGGAGATCAAGAATTCTCAGGGCCTCAGGGTCTTCGGATCGCTGCGCGAGACATGACCACTGACACTCTCAAGTCCAAAGTGAAACTCGTCATCAGCCGTGTCAGGCTGCAACTTCGTGGATTCTTTGCAGGCGCTTGTGGATGCTGCGGTACATTCACGACTTCGGGCGCAAACGATGCTTGAACAAGTCATTCCGGCGGTGCCCGACAGTTTGTGGCGCATGCTTTCGAAAATGGCAACAAACTGCTTTCTCCGAACTCCGCCCCTGAAGCCTAAGCAATTTGATGGTGGATCTGAGATTTGGGCACGGGGTTTCTGGTGTTGGGCACTCCAAAGGGTGGGGTGGGGGGGGGGGAACCGGGCACGGGAGGACCGGGCGGAGCACAGCAGATCCGGACGATGGCAAAGCTGAGCCGAGATTTCCGCACACCGAGGGCTTAGGGAATATAAGCAATTGCACGGCAACGGCCTGTCCACGACACGTGTGTACTAGTCATCATACTAGTGTGTACTTGGCAACTCCACGTTTTTGCACCTCTTGGTCCACTTGGTTGCCAGACGAACTGAATCACAGTGCCCTGCTTGCCCACCCCGGCGGTGGCAGTTTGACAAACCTAACATGATTTGACCCAACCCTAGGGCCCTGCGACAGAAGTTGCAAACACGTCGTCCGTTGTACTGTGCTGGGCTCTGTGCAGGTGTGGCCTCATCAGGGTCATCGTGGGATGAGGCTGCCTGATCTTCTTCTACCGGCTCAGGATGGATACCGTTTGCTGAGTGCTTGGACCTCTTTGCTCGCTTCTGCTGCGGGCGATGGTGCCTGAAAGCCAGTTCAACAAAATCACGTCACAAGGAGAACGTATAAGCACCAACGGAAAGGCAATCGCTATGTCCCTCTACACAGCTTCTGGGCCTCCATTCGACGCAACTCCTGGCATGGAATCGTCTGAGCACTTGCATGCAAGTTCTTGATGCTCAGAGCCACGTAGAGCGGATTTTATCTCACTTCAGTTCGTATCAGTCCATATCAGTCCTCGGAGATTCCTCGAGGGGCTCGGAGCGATGGCTTCGCAGCCTGCGCTGCTCGGAGTGAGGGAGGTTTGGTGAAGCAGGGAGGAAGAGAAAGAGAGAGAGAGAGAGAGATTGAGAGAGTCAAAGAAAGGTTCGGGTGCGGCGGGTGCGTGGTGGACACTAGGGCGGAGGATGTCGAGATACCGTCGAGGCTCAGTGTAGAGGGGAGATGAAAGGCTTCGGGCTTTTAGGGCGTAAAATTTTGAGAGAGCTTTGGGACAATCAGGGTCAAAGTGAAAGCTTCACCGGATCTTCAGGATCTGTCGTGGGTTCGGACTTGAATGGTTTTGAAATGGCTGGGATTGAGGTCTTTTGCTGTGCTGGGAGTTTCAAGGATTTTGTTGTGGATTGATAAACCCAAGGGGTGGACGGGGGAGGATTGGGGAATGATGAGAAGAGCCCAAGCAAAAAAGTTTCCACTAGTGACCCATTGGAGCTCAAACAGCAGAGGAGCCCAAACCCCTAACCCTAACCCTAAACCCTAAAGCAGAACGCCCGTCATGGCGAGGTCTCACAGGGAATGACCCTTTCGCCGCCTCAAGGCTCCCAACAGCAGGCCAAACTATCCTCAGTTGCCCGGGGTTTAGGGTTTAGGGTTTAGGGTTTAGGGCTTAGGGCTTAGGGTTTAAAGTTTAAGGCTTAGGGTTTAGGGTTTAGGGTTTAAAGTTTAGGGTTTAGGGTTTAAAGTTTAGGGCTTAGGGTTTAGGGTTTAAAGTTTAGGGTTTAAAGTTTAGGGTTTAGGGTTTAGGGTTTAGCACAGAAACGGCCTGAAATGGCCTGCATCCAAAGAGCAGCTCCAAAAGAAGGAAGCTCGCCATCTGCTGAAACCCCATCAGTGGTGTCACCTTGCAGGGTGCGCAAACTGTCAAATCGCCAGTGTCGGCAAGTGTTGGGAACGATTGTCAGATCTCTGCTCCCATGGCCTCAAGGCCAAGCAGCCTGGACACCCGGTCAGGCATGTGAAACGGCAGCACGGGCATGCTGACGCTCAGCACCGCTGCCTGAAGATTGCAACCGCACTGTTTCATGAGCCCTTGGCAAGCGAATCCCTGCATCTGGGGCCATCTGAGCTGCTGGCTGCGATAACGTGTGCTGCGCTTGTCAGAAGCAGGGTCACTCTAAGCAGTCCAACGGCACAAGCGAAGTAGTCCTTCCATTCATGAGAGGTGAAGCAGTCACTGGATGCAAGCTGGATGCGAGTGCATGTCCTGGCGGTGCCAAACGTGGGTAGCATACGGGTTGACACAGGCCCACAAGAGCAGGATACAGATCGTTGCCAAATGGTAGGCCTCAACCGTGAGCCAGCTGTCTCGCGCACTCATGCGCACTCTTTTAGCTGTGACTAGATGCTGACAATGCGTGAACCCTCAGGCAGGAGCTACAGCGAACACATTGAAGTGCAGGCTGGCAGAGCAGAACAGAATCCTTGGTCAGGTGGCAATGGCCTCCCAGCTTCAGTAACATGTTCGACAACGTGTGCGAACAGAAAGCCAAGCTGGGCACACAGTCACCTGCGGCGAGTGGCATGGCGAAGGTTGAACACTATGTCGGGGACAGCTTAGGAAGGAGCCCATGCCAGTCTCAGCGGCGACATCAAGGGGTTCGATCGCGTGAGGCATTGCTTTGCCTGAAGTTCTGGCACATCGATGCATCGATGCCATGGTCACAAAACTGAGCCAAAGCCCGCCTGCACTCCGCGAACGGAGCATCCCAGAAGCCAGCCCACACCGGCAGTCACGGTTGCAATCACCTACGTGCATCACACGGCAACTCCAGATGCTCGCCCGACTGGGCCATCCTGATGGGCACCAAGGGCGCCTCCGGGAACATGATCCACTGGCCCTCCTCACATCCAGCCTGGGGCCATCAAACAAAAAACCCAAAAGTGAGCCAAGTGATGTTCTCCGAGTAAGCTCCGGGCCATGCCAAAAAAAAGCAGCTTCCCAGCAACAAGCGCCTCTTCTTCAAGGCTGCTATGCCTGGCAACTTTGGTCGGTGACCAATGTCAGTTTTGTGAGGAATCCCGTGCAGCTCACTTGCTTGCACCTTGCACTTTGTTGTGAACTGCGCACACACACACAGGCACATGCGCACACGTGCGCACGCGCCTGCAGAGGGCAAGCATGACGCTCGCCACGATCAGTAAGCTAACACTGATGAAGCCCATGGCCATGTGAAGGCGCCGCCAGCTTGAAGCCCTGTCCAGCTTCCCAAGTTGTACAGGATCTGATTAACAGGGATACAGATGGATCTAGTACCTAAAGACATCCTTGTTAATCTTGTGTTTCGTTACCCTTGGTTTGCGTGAGTCTGAGGCCAGAGCTCGCAGGTTCGGGCACGGCAGGCAGGAAGAAAAAGCACCAGAAACGCCATCGTCGAATAGACCGCGGAGACCTTCAAGCACAGAAAGCGCAAAAAGGGCTGAGGAGGGTGGAGAGTGCGCTGGAGATGAAATGAACAGAGCAACGTTGAGCACCAAACGGCAGTGGATGGGCGCAGGAGGCTTGCGGCAAGAAAGCACAAGGGGTAGCAGTAGCAGAACCTCTGTCCAACATCACGCTCTCAAAACTCCAAAGCCAGGGACCGAATGGTTTTAAGCTCATGGCCATGCTCGAACAGATTGTTGCACCCACCTACCAGCTTTGGCTGACTGGGCTTAATCACTCTAGCCACGGTCGAAAACGAGACCCATGCAAGCTAAAGCAATGTGGGCCTGAATCGAGCGCAACATGAGGGTTCGCGCACCTACAGAGCAGGACTCAGCAAGGTCACGTTTCCCCATGTTTCGGGGCTGACCGTGGAGATGTGTAAAGTGTTGCGCATCCAAACCTGAGCCAAGCACTGATGCGTCGCTATCTGAAGATTCCATTAGCCGCTCCATAGTGTAATGTTGGTAATGGTTGCAGCATGAGGCCTTCAAATCTGCGCTTGCAATCTGCCTAGTCTGGGCTGGGACGAACGTCGAGAGTCTAAGCTGGGAGTAGTTTAAAGATGTGTGGGTGGGTCTGGTCTGCCACTTCATCACGGGGTGGCTTTAAACTGCTTTTCGGCGAGGTCCAAATCTAAGTCCTCCTCTAAAGTGTTCAGTTCTGAAGCTGGCGGGGGGCGGTGAGGCAATCACACCTTATGCTTGCATACCTCCACCCCAAGGCCTTGCAAACAGTCCCCTGGCTTCAAGCACGAACGACTTTTTGCAAAGCACGGGTCGCTGTACAATCGAGACCTGCGCGCATCTCAGTTGAGACGACGAGAATTCCATGTCCTGCAGTGCCAGGGAAAACTGAAAAAGCACTAGCCAGCGCGGGTGGAGAGAATGGAGCAGACATGCGAGGAGCCCAAGTGCCTTGATGACTTGCCCCAACTGTCAAAGAGGCCCAGTGCCTGCCGAAACTGCCAATCGGACATGCCAGCTGCTGCTTTTATTGGTTCAGCATTTTGAAGGTTGAGGGGTAGTGAGGGTAGGGGTAGGGCCTTCGCCAGTAGAACAGCCAAAACGACCAGGAGCAGCACCTCGGCAGCGAGCGAGCTACCAAGCCGTTGCGTTCTGGCCTTCTGGTGATGACGTCGAACACTGGAAAGCGCCGATTCGATCGGCGAGTCAAAAGTAGACGGCGCTCAAGCATGACCATGCAGCGAAATCTGGAAAGTAAGACGATACGCAGAATTCAGCCAAGCTGGGCGTGGCACTAGGCTGCTCCAGGAGGACTGCCTAGAAAAAGCAGCACTTTTGTGCTGCTTTTGCAAACGCAGCACGGCCGAACCTTTTTTAACTCAAGCTGTCGAAATGCAGCTTGGCAGCGTAGGATGCATCCACGAATCTGAGCCCGGAAGGTTCAGAACCGGGCGCGCCCCGGCTTCCTGTCGGCAAAAGAGGGGTGTGTTGGATGGTGACACATCCCCCACAAGCTCTCAAGCACCCCCTGCAATGGAGATTCAAGGAGGGCGCTGTCGGGAAGACTTGGTGACTTGGTGGCGTTTCGTGCAGCCGCAACCCCGCAGCAGGCATAGAGATCTCTGAAAGTAAGATGTGGCCACTGGGCCGTCATTGGACCTGAAGCTTCTTGCGGCAGGCTGTAAGTCGCTTCTGCGTGTCCGTGGACTCCACCCATCGCTTCCTCACAGTTTGACGGAACTTCAACGGCAACCTTCACACGAACCATTCGGAGCGGGATCAGAGGTGTACGGAACCGGACATATGCAAACGTGTCCTGTCGGCATCGCTCATCATGATGGCGCCAAGAAGCCAGAAGGAAATTTGCTGCACACAGGGCTGTGACTCGAACATACTCAAACTCTCGTCCCGCATGACGAAATGTGGCACAGCTATGAAGTTCACAACTTCGCTAAGTCTAGCGCCAAGTTAACACGGCGAGACATTCAAGTCCATCCAAAAACTCACGGAGCAAAGCCCATGAAAGCAGCTTCCACGCCTACCAGAAACGTTCCGATGTAGCCTGCCTCCAAGTCGGCCGACGTCAACGTCCCACCCGGCCTGCGAGCCGTGGCTGCCCATTTTAAGGCTAAGGCAATATGGCTCTAACAGGCTTGCTTGGTCCTTCTGCGAAGCGCGGCAGGAGGTTCCCCACAGCTTTCAGTGAAGACCTCAGGACTCCAGGGTGACGGGTGTGCCGATGCTTTTGCATGCTTTTGTCATGCTTTCGCCATGAGGCCGCCGCATACCTGCTCCCAGAACCGAGCATTTCCAGCTGTCGCTCCACAGCCTGCAGACACAAAGATGGGGCCCCCATGTTGCCACACCTGGGTGTGGGCCTGCATCGCCCCCTCTGCAATGACTGGGGCTGGCTCCTGACCGATATGGGGCAGCACAATGGAGCACAGCATGAATCAAGAAAGTGAGGAGCCACCCAAGAGCACGCGATTCTCACTGCCCTGTGCCTCGCCGTCGCCTCCTGCAGGCGAGATTCACTCGGGATGCTGGGCACGACGGCCACCATAATATCTTCAGCCGCTACTTCTGACTGCTGGGCACACACTCCTTCTGGAGCCTCACGCCCCAGTAAGTTCAGCGGCAAAGGCGTATCGAAATATGCCTGCGGATGGTCCAACTGTGCAGGAATGCTAGTAAGCTCGTGCTGCTTCTCTGTTCAAGTACAATATGAATGGTCGAAACAATCAGGTGCTTCAAGCTTTGGGCCCCAGTGCCTCGAAGCGGCCGAGCTCAAACCCGTCCTGCCGAAGTCACAATGCACATCTGCGACGCTTCATGTGTTTCAGGGGTTGTGTTCCGCCCCTCCCGCCTGTAGAGAGGCTGTGGGATGGTTTTAGGGTTTGGGGCTTAGGGTTCTGAGGATGCAGGGTTTTGGAGCTTCGCTTGTTAGGGCTTAGGGTTTACAGTAGGGTTTAGGTTATACGGTTGTTGGTCATGGTCTAGGTACTCCCCTCCTTGTGGTGTGGCTGCGTGGTTGGGTTTAGCGCTTCTGGTTAAGGGCTCTGGCATTTTAGGGTTTAGGGTTTTGGGGCTTAGGGCTTAGAGTTTCAGGGCTACTTGTCACATATTTCCACATACATGTATTAAAGGAGGTTTCACAAAAAACTCAATACTCTTACTTTTGGGCAGTTACAAGCGGATACAACAAATCATGAAGTTCCTCCCACAACTGTCTGAGAAATATATGTGCAACTTACTGAGGAATTACCAGTATCAGCGGTGGTTTCATCATATAATAAAAAACTCCATGTCACTGCAAAATTATAGTTGCGATACTCGACTTATTGCCAACAAAAGGCTGAATGGCTGGAAAGATTTTTGGTATTTTAAAACTTGCACGTTTTACAGCAATGAAATGACTTGTACATTAAAACAATGATACCAAGCTTATGCAACTAGTTTTCTTTTCCTTGTGCATGAGTGAAGCAAGGCACCACGATAAAGGGGTATTGGGGTTTCTTGGGTACAAGCGCCGGGTTTATCTCGACCCACCCGGTGTAAAGTCGGCCCAACCCCTGCGGCACACAGCAAAACAAGGCAGAGGAAGGAAGTCACCCCAGGCGGTGTAAAGTCGGCCCAGCAACAGCGAAACCCCAGGGGCACATGGCTTTTGAGAGCTTTCGCGCCTTTTTACAAAAATGGCACCGGAGCTGTGCACAGTGGGTTGAGAAGCCTGAAAACAGCATTTGTAAGCGGTTTTGAATTGCGAAACTGCAGGGGCACATGGTTTTTCGGATGGTTTTACGGCAACTTCGCATGCAGTGTGAAGGAAAATCAATTGTTTTGGGGAGGGGCATATTTGTGGCCCTGCGCGAGGGTCGCGCGACCTTGCGCGAGGCCCGCGCGAGGTAAGGCAAGGCACTGGCTTTTGATATAAAGAATAATACCTGGGCCGTTCCCCCAGGGGCACACTGGGATTGGGACAACTTCCGCCTTGCGGGGAATGCTTGCAATGGTTTCATGCATCGGAAGCTTCGGGGTTACAACGATCCGGAAATGTTCCAAAACCATGTGCACAGTACTACAAGACCGCAAAAATCTGGGTCTGATGTAATATAAGATATGTTGGGGATATGGGAAAGTAAGCCCAAACACTGCGGCACATGGGCTTGGCACGACTTCACCCCGGCAGGGTCGACTTAAACCTACCACTAGTAGGTACGGCTGAAGACTATCACATCGTCTAGATAACTAGGCAGATCTGAAGCCAGCAGCCAGCCAGTACTTTCTCCACAAAAGCGCTCAAATGTACTTGGCGCATTGCACAGACCGAAGGGCATGACTTGCGACTTATACAACCCACTGTTTGTTACAAAACAGACTTCTGCGTCGCTTGGTCAGTAAGCACTTGCCAGTATCCGCTACGACCCTCAGACCGACCCCCCATACCGGACCATACCATGCGCGGGGAGGGGCAGCACACGCCAAAAGCCTGGCATGCACACGCGGACACCTACACATACGCAAGCACAACCACACACAAATGTGCACTAGCACATGCTCGCATGCTCGCAGGCACGCACACACACACACACACACACACGCGCGCGCCCACACACACACACACACACACACACACACACACACACACACACATGCACACAATTGCACACACACACACACCTACACCTACACCTCTACACACCTACACACCTACACGCATACACACCTAATTCCACACCTACACACCTACACACCTACATGCTGGCCTGCCGGCTTACTTGCATCACGTACCGAATGAAACATGCAAAGCCCGATCCAGCGTGATGTCCATCCACAAACCACAACTCACAACTCACGTTTGCTGCAAAGTCTCCTCGTGCATGTTGGGCGGCTCCGTCAAGCGGACGCGGAACTTGCCAACAAGTGTGACCTCTGTCGCATGCAGGCACGCCAAGCGCACCATAGCGCAAGGCTGAGTTGCTGCGTGACGATGTCACACGCAAGATTCACGCAATCTCATGCAAGGTGGCCTGCGCCGGCTGCTGCCGGGCAGCGGGCCGAAGCTGCTCCACAGACATGCAGATGCCTGGCTCGCACCGCGACGCATACATCTGCCACTCCTGGACCCATTTCTTGTGTATTGAGAGATGTCCTGCGTCTCCTCCCGGCTGCATCACGCAGATGCGGCGACCGCCCTGGACGGCAAAGTTCACCTCAATCGAGCAGACATCAGCAGACTGCAAATCGACTCACTCAGAGACGCAAGGGTTTGACTAAGCAGCAGGCGAGCAGTTCACCCTGCGAGTCTAAGTCATGCCCAATACGGCATTGCGGAAGCATGGGCCGCGCATGCCTCCCACGATATGAACACAACTCCGAAGCTTCGGAGTCCTGCTTCCGTAAGCCAGATCTTCAGAAAACGTCCACACGTGTAAACACCATAGGGCGCACCTCAAGACGGGTAGAATGATGGCATCCGCCCCACCAGGGCCATTGGCTTCAGCATTTGCCGGGGCACCCGCAGCCACCTGCACAACTTCCCCGAATGAGTGGGCTCTATGTATGTAGAATTATGTAGAGGAATACCATGGAATACCAATTAGACTCTATAATCAGACCATGTTAAGCCCCCTAGCTCGGGTGTGGGCCTCTCGTAGGCGCTCCTCCTCTGCACTTCGCTCGGCCTGCCGCAGCTCCTGTTGGTGCTTCGGTTTGACAACCACTCTACCTTGGCACGTGAGAGCGTGATCTTCATCACTACGCTGCCGCAATGGTGATACCTGGCAGCTCTACCACCTTGCTGCTGGTCCTCCTCAACTTCTCTTCTCCTGCTGGCTAAAGCGCGCGGGTACCTCACCCCAACCTGCCATTCAGCTACAATAGCTCAATGCCGACATCAGACTCTGGGGCACTGCTCCGAAATCATGCTGCCTTCAGCGCACACTGGTAATCTATACTCACACAAAAGGGCAAGGCCACCATAGACTGGGCTGGCAGCGGATGAGGATGTTCACCGATTGTCCAGGAGGTACAGGCGCACGGCACACGGCGCAAAGGTTCCTGGCAATGATGTCGAAGGCAGCAAATTTGATGTGCATGAAGCATCATGACCTGAAGAACCACTGCTGAATACTGTAGAATGCAGTGAATATGCAGTTCCATTGTTGGGAGTTCAGTTGTGCTTCAGCGGCACAGCCCCATCAGAACCCATCAAAAGCATCCCTCATTATGCCAGCTTAGGCCCCAAACAGTGCGAGACCATGTGAGCCCAGACGTCCAAAGGCGACGACGGTGATGCACTTGGTGAACACAGACGTTCAAAAGTGCTAACATTCTGTTTTGTGAACCCCGCCCAAAAGCCGACAGTTTCACATTTCGCGAACCCAGAAACCAAAGACGCCAACAGCTTTGAGGACGGCGAGTGCAGGCATGCCCGCGCCTAGGCGAGGATTCGAGGATGTGATTCTCGGATTTTCGTCAGGCGAGCAAGCTTCGAGAAAAATGCATTGTCCGGGGGGCTGCCACAGGCCATTCGATCTGGCCCCTCTTACTCTTAACGTCGGAAGCCTTAGTGATGAATGAGCAACTTGCAGTAACTTGCACCTTAAGAACTTAGAACTCCTGTGACTGTGGGGTCCTGTAACCCAGCGCTTGGTCCAAGCACGTCTGACCTGACGTGCGCTGCATGCCATTCAACCGTAGCCGCAAAATCCGAAAACTCTCAGGAGCACCGGCAAGGCCGTGAAGCCAGTCTTCCGGACGGTGCTGAGGCATGAGCAGAACGTGTGACCACAAGGAACGGAGACGGGCTCCAACAGCAACTGCGCACGGCCAGAGGAAGAAAACATTTTGTCATTGGAGTCGAGTGATCGTTGTCGAATAATCAAGCAAGCCCTGGCACAAGGAGGCCTTCATGCATATCGCGCACTCCAAGTGCGGCGGAATACTTTCGTCAGCCATGGCCTGCGATCTGCTCACGCGAGCCAGACACGTAGTAGCACTCGAAGGACAAGGACGGCACAGGCCTGATCGGCGTCGTCGGCATTCATGCCGAACCTATGCGCTTTGCATCCTGTTATGTACTGGGGTTTCCGAAAATAGCTTTTTTGGGGGGTTCCAAAAATGAGGATGAGAGTGTTTGGAGGAGTAGTAGGGGTACCCCTATTTTTGGAAATGGCCATATCAAGATACATCTTGTGTTGAGGTTGACAACTCACGGCTGCAAACCATCGCCCACATTCCATCAAATCACATCAGATGTGGACCAAAATGTAACAGAACTTCGCATGGTAGCCGCTACTAATGCAAAAAGCCGAAGCTGGCAGCCAAAGGTGTGCAGTACACAGCGTAGACAGGCGGCACGACGATCATGGTTCAGGCGCAAACTACATCAACCGCATGGTACCAAGTAGGAACACAGCACAGTAAGTTTGCTACGCACGACTGAGCGAGGCAAACTTAGTCGGTGCAACTTTCCTGGAACAGCTTGCGCGAGTGCTCTCGAACCTCTGCGACGTTGATGTGAGACCACAGTCTTGGCTGCCCCTCACGGAATCTCTGTCTTAGCGGTTGTCGCCCTTGTGGTTGCCGTTGCATGATAGCCTCGACGACATCTATCAGCCACATCTGCAAGTACCATGGTTTTTTTCGGCGAAGGCAGGAGATCCTGCTATCCCCAGCTAAGAATTTGCACATGCTGCCAACAGCAGCTTACTTCGCAGCTCTCGTTGCAACGGTGCCTGGCTGTGGGACACGGCTGAGGCGAGACTTCCGCGCGCTTTGCTCGTTCTCCGGGGTAGCCTGGCCCTGGCGCCATCACCACATTCGCTGCATACAAGTTTGCAATTCTATTGACAGCAACCAAGAAGCTAAGCCATTCTAATGCAACATGTAAAGGAGCGGCTGTTACACAAAGCAGCCTTGGCAATGAGCACGGCCACCACCAGGATGACCTAAACACAAGTCGCAGGTAAGAAACGTCATGTGGACCACAGCGCGTCGAGTGGCTGTTCCCAGCACTTGCTCAGGCGAGCAGGCTTCATCAAGCCAAACTGCAGCAAGGACAAGTACCTGAGACTTTCATTCAAAACCCATCTGGGGGGTTTCCCACAATAAGAATGCCAGTTTCAGGTGCAAAGGATTGTTGCATTTAGGGGCACACTCAGGGTACCCCTTCTTGGGGACTTGCCAGCAACGCAGCACACAGGACAACCAGTAATTTTCGTCTGGTTCATGCATGCATGTGCACGGGATGACACCACTGAGGTGGCCGCGAAAACGAGCTGCAAATTGCCAAACCTCGCTGTAGAAAGCCCGCATCAGGTTAGGCAGGGGCGTTTGAACGGCATGGCGCGCCAACAGATCCGCAGCGTTCAATGCACCAAAGCTTCTGCCTAGTGACATCTGTTGCATCACTGGGCCCAAGTAGCGCATAGACGTCCACTGAGACCTGTGCCACACGTTCTATGAACAGGCCGACCCAGCACTCGTCGCAGCTGTGAAGCAACCCTAAACCCAGCTTAGGCGCCGGCAGGTTAAGCAGCACAGCCGCTATGCAGGAGACCAATGTTGCCCCGAGTGCATTTTTCGAAGCGCCCGGCAATGCCCGAAAGAAACCTGCAGCTTCAAAAAAAGCTCAGCGGCAGGTTCTCACAAAATCACGTTCTGGATCGTTCTGGCGTCTGTCCATGGCTCATGCTGTATGCTGTGCAGATGGGCGGCCGGTTCCTTCCCAGGCAATTGCAATGGGCAGTGTCAGCAAGAGTGTCCACAAGGCAGCCCAGGCAGCGAGGCGTGCTGGCCCCAACTGCTCCATGAAGACTAACCGCTGCTGCCAAATGGATTTCCTTGGCGGAACAATCATGGAACGTGCGCTCTGTGATTCAGAGGTGTTTCAGCCCTTCACACTGCCATCTGCGAGGACCTGCCTGGATATGCCTTTTGGCACAAAACCCATGCTTTTTCATTGGATCAGCACGACTTGCAGATTCGAAATGCTGTGCAACCCAGGCATCACACCGCGAGAGGTGCAGCCCAAGAGGACCAGCGCCACTGCCACCACCGATGCACTGCGCTCTCCGCGGACACACAGGGCGCCTTTTTTGCCATGACTAAGCGACCGTGCAAAATGAGCAGATTACAGCAGATTGCAGGAGGAGGCTCTCAGAATTTGGAGCGTGGCAACACGCATTCTCAATGCTATCTCTGTACTTGGAGGTTCTTCAGAAGGGGTGAAGGGTTGAGGTCCTTGGGATTCAGCCCGTGTTTTTGGGGTAGGGAAGCACTGTTGGACTCTCGGGTCGCTCACGGATTCAGAGTTACTCGCAATTATCGGCACTTCAGATCTCCGAATCGGTGTTCGACGTGAGGTTTTAGGAGTCCAGGTGGGGGGGCTTAAGGCTGACGGCTTCGAGGACTCGGCTTTCAACTTAAGGGTAGCAGCCCATGCTACAGCAACTTGAAGGAAAACGTCACAAGGGTGTGGCGACATGAATGCTGCCAACGACAGGTTAGTATACTGGTGAAATAAGGCCAACGTGAGGATAGTCGGCTCCCCGTCCCCCCATGTCCCCCCCTCTGGCCTCCAAAGCAACCCATCAAGACGGGAACCGCGCTCTTCCAGGTTACGTCCCGGCTGCCTATGGCGAGCTCCATGCCTGGGTGCAACAGGGCTGCAAGCACACTGGGGTCATCAATAGACCTCGAATGAAGGATCACTACTGTCTGTTGAACCTGTGGAGCCAGGTTTTTTTGGGTTTTTTTGGGGTTTTTTTTGGGTATGTTTGTGTGTTTAGGGTATGTTTTGGGGTTTAGGGTATGTTTTTGGGTATAGGGTTTAGGGTTTAGGGTTTAAGGTTAGGGGTTAGGGTTTAGGGTTTAGGGTTTTAGGGTTTTAGGGTTTTAGGGTTTTAGGGTTTAGAAAACCAAAAAAAACACCCAAAAAAAACAAAAAGATACCCAAAAAGAACCCCCACCCGAACCTGTTGGGATACGGTAATTTACACGACTAACATACGACGTTAAGTACTTGCAGCGCTGAAGCAAGGATGAAAAGTGGTGCCATTGCTCCCGGAAGCAGTAGGTGATCACGGGTGTGCCAGAGCCCAGCATGGTCACAAAGCTCACGCTGGCCTTGCCGGCAGCATCCGGTAGCTGTTTCAACTGCATCCTAAGTGGATTCGACCTGTAATGGATGACGTTCACTTGCTTTTTCTGCCTGCGGGTGTTCAGGATGAGCCTGCTCACGGGGTCAAATGCTTAACACTAGGGGTGGACACACTGAGTTTGAAGCTTTCGAGCCGCTTCCTGCGCCCGTCCTTAGCCATTTGTTTTTGGCTGATGGTCTGCGGCTTCCAGAGAGTGACTTGCAAGCGGAACCCAAGCAAACAACACGAGAACACAGGGGGCTCGTGTGAACCCCAAGTAGCCCGGTAAGCGATGGGCTACTCGGCTACTCGACGCTGCCCCATCATTTCCTGAGCCTCTCGGCTACCCCGCGTCGAGGAAACGGCCCACCTGCGTCAGCGCCACATTGCTCAGCAGCACAGCGCCACCACCGGCCAGAGAAGGTGGAAGTGTTTGCAGCGCCTCAGCAGTTCAGAAGGGCAGTTGAGGCATCACCTGTCTGCATGGTAATTAGGGTTTCAGGTTTAGGGTTAGGGTTTAGGGCCACCAAAGACGAACATCACACCGGCAAGAAGATATTTCATTTATCGCGTGGTCGAGTTGGCTGCTGTCAGGTTGATCTCACATTGGAGAGCTGCTTATTTGGGGTTCGATTGGCTTATGTGGCGCTGATGCCAAACCGGATGGATCAAGATGAAAGTGCTTAAGGCAGGGTTCAAGGTTGAAGCCTCTTAAGGGCTAAAGCGGGTGTTAGAGTTTAGGACGTCTACAGTTCGATTTTGCGGGCTAGGGCCTGGGGGGCAGTACGGCTTCCGGATACTAGTGTTTCTAGGGCTTTTTTGGGTGCTTGGGGTCAGGGCTTCTCACGGAACAAAGATTCAAATGGATTCAGGGTCAGAGCTCGGCTCATCTTTGGGCTTGAGATTTGGCCGTGCGTCGGGCAGAGTCCTCCCCACCCCTCCCCCCCACCCCCGCACGAATCCACACCGGCCCACACCCCTGATGCATCGTGATGTGAGCCAGCACTTAGTACTGGTAGATCTGGGAAGCTAGGACACTCCGCTAGCCCTCCATGGATTGTCTTTGAATTGGTTGGGTTGGGTTAGAGCAGGCTTGGCTGCTGGTGACATCAGCCAGCTTTCTTGACAGGTCGCTTTCGGCTTTAACATCAATACAACACATGCTAGAAGATTCTCGCAGCTTCTAGCAAATGCCTGAACATGTTTTCTAAGGCTAGGCGCCGCCTGCAACTCGCCTGGCCGCGGTGGGCCGGAAGCAAAAGCAGTCAGCACCGTGAGCAGCATGTGGAACGCCTCGGCTTGCAACATGTTTGCCTCGAGTTCTGGCAATGGATTGTGCAAGTTCTGCCACCTTATGCTCTTTGTGCGACCCATGGGGCCGTCAAGGAGTACGGATATGGTAAGCCTTCATGCAGCGCCGCCTTCATTGCCACTTGAACCACAGTCAGCGACAGGAGGAGTGTCGACAGCGAGACGAAGGCCCACCAGCCCTGGTAGACCAGGACCTTCACCATGGCAAGCAGGGCCTCGCAGGCTTTCAGAGCTGTGCACATTGTGCGCTACGAGAGCACAGGCATCTTCTCTACTATAGCTTTCTGCGCTCTAATTTGCTGTGCAGGCGGCCAGTGCGCCGAGGGTCTGCGCACAAATCATCCTCAGCAAGCCAGTGAACCCAAGGCTTTGAAACTGAAACGCAAAGAACCGCATGCTGCCGTTACAGCGCGTGCTAAACAGCCATTCAGAAAATCATTGTCCAAGTAGCTTTGAGCGGCGTTTCTCGATTGCTAGTCGTGGGTCAATGAGCTGCTGCGGAAAAGACGTTGAGACCGCTGGCACCTGAGCACCCCCCTGCTAAACAGCTCCCTTACAAGTACCAATATGGCATCGAGCCACTTCGTCGTATTATGGAACAGCCATGAACACATGTGAACAACCTCGCTCTTGGCACAGCATGACAAGCACAGGCCCGGCAACAGTTCCACAATGTTCCACACCTCCCGTAGCAATGGCGAGTTGCGCTGTGGTTGGCCCCTAGTCAGGTCGTCAACCGAAGCTAAGCGGAAAAGACATGATCGCTTCGCAGCCATGATTGTCAGCAGATGTCAGCAACTTCAGCAAACCACATCAACCAAAACCGTGCATGTGGAAAATTATTCATCCAGCCGGCCTTCTGAGCCGGCCGAGGGCTGCAAAGAGCCGCCGGGCGCGCTTGGCGCCTTGGGCGCAGGCCATCGAGTTTGCAATCGGGGTCTTAGGGGAGCCTAGGCCTCGAAGCGATGTCACAACGTTGGCTCTCATGCGCCTATCCGCGTGGTTACAATGTTCTCCACACAAAGAGCTTGCAGGATTCCAGGCAGGATTGCACACTGCACCTCGCCCTGACCTAAACATCCGAGGTGCTGCTGGTCTGGTGGCAGGAGCGTTGTAAATGGCATCTGGTGCTTGCCTTGTGGTATTTCAGATTCGAGGGCTCTCACTTACTGGAAAGATGAACAAAAGGACGAAGGCTCGCCAATCTCTGTGCTGCCTTTTGGACTGCCGCGATACCCCAACGCAACGTCAGACTTCGATGTCGGTGTGACTGGACCGGGTGTGACTTGTGACCTCAGTTTCTGGAGGAATTTATGGAGAGCACATCATGGAGCTTTTTTCCACGAATGACAGGTGAATGAGCTCAGTCTTCCCGACCATTCTGGAAGCGCAAACATAGTTCACAGTGTTTGCACTTCGAGAGGAACTCTATGCCCAACGGGTTCAAATTCAAGATGGCACTGCCGCCATGCTTTGGCAAAACTCCGGCAGCGCTATAGAAATCTAGGAATGAGTAAGAAAGTCATATAGTAATAGTAAACATGTAATATGGTCATATAGTCATGTAGTCATGTAGTCATATAGTACTATAGTGATATAGCAATATAGTGATACAAAATGTCAGAATATAATAACATGATGAAGAGTAATAGACTATTTTGCAACTTCCAGACCTTTAACTCCTGGACTGCCCTGATGCCCAAGCGTCGAGTTCGGATTGTCGAATGGCACCAGGAGGACATCACCCCCAGCCGACCATAGGACGCCTGAGTTGCGAATGCTTCTTTTTGGCCTCCTTTGTGGCTGAGGTTTCGCCAGCCTCCTTGCTATGCATTTTGCCAGAAAGCGCGCAGGAAACAAGCCCGCTAAGACACAAAGGTGCCCAGCCAAGCTTCGCTACAATGCTGTACTGCCAGCAGGCTGGAGCAAATCATAGCCCTGCGGTTCCCAGTTGCAGGGAAGCGGCCGCCAACAGCAGTTGAAAGGGAGGGTCGCGTCAACCAGCACCACACCTTGGACAACGGGAGCTTAAGGCGATGGTAATCCTCGCAGATGGCATTGGGTCTATCAACAACCATTGGGCTGCACCGCCCGCACAGTTCATGGTAAATAAGTAGGATCTGCACCTGCAAAGAAGCTGACTGTGAGTGCGCGGGAATCAACCCTGCACATACAAGTACCAGCAAATACATTGAGCGATATCTCAGAGCACAACCTTGGGAAACCTTGGTCCAGCCCAAGCGGCAGCCAAGCAGAACCGCGCGCGCATCATCGGATGCCTGCAAGCGGTCGTGGATGGCACCCTTCAATCTGCATGCAGTGTAATGCAGCACCCGTCACACGGCAGTACTGGAAGCAAGAGGTTGGTCGCTGTTGGTCATCGCTTTCTTGGCAACTTCATTGGAGACTCTCAGCCTCTGCCATACCATCGACATCATCCGAGCACTCCTCAATGTTTCTTGTCCGATCTCGTAAGGATTAGTGACTACATACTTGCGTGCTGAACGCTGCTGTGATACACTGTTGAAACAAGAGTAAACACGAGGCCAAAAGTCAGCCGAGCATCCGTCCACAATGTGATTGGAGTTAACAGCCTGCCGCCTGCATGAAGGAATGTGCTATGCGGCCAATCTGACTTGCAGAAGTTGACAAGAAGTTGGAAACCCCGCTGGAAGCACGAGGCGGGAATACTGAACCTGAAGGCCTTCACAGCCAGTTTAGGGTTTAGGGTTTAGGGTTTAGAGGGCTTAGGGTTTAGGGTTTAGAGGGTTTAGGGTGTAGGGTTTCGGGTTTAGGGTTGGCAGAAGATCGGCATACACACGAATGCAGTAAGACAAGATTAGGTTCACAATCGCCAGGAATCCAGCTCTCCCTGCGTCTGTCCATGTCGGCCCCGCATCCGAAAGCTTCATTTTAGTGGCCGAGGGGCTCAGGGCGCATCGCTGGTGGAAGCTGACATAGAGAACGCTTGTGCCAAAACGGCACTGCGTGCATGAAACATAAAATCATAAAAGCCACGGACATCCAGTTCCACTAAGGGCACTTTTTGGGGTTTGCCACTTTGTAAGGGAACCCTTTTACACGGCTGCCGACACCTTCAGTTCACCATCAGGCTTGATTCGGTTTGATGTGCCATGACACAAGAACATGCAAACAACGCCGCTGGTCCTTCTCAGAACCCAATCGCGAGCCGATCCGCAAAAGTCAGACTTTTTTACGCGGCGGATGTTCTTTGGTCCGTCTTGCTTGGCAGCGCTGTCCACGTGGACGGTGCATCGCTAAGACGAAGACTACGGAGGGCTGCCAAGGCTACAGAGAAGGCTGACCAGACTCACATACCTAGACCAGCCGCACAAGCGACCACAGGCTCCAAAGACGAGATGTGCACTTCGTGTTGTAGGCTTGTGGAGTGACAAGCCTCAATGTTCTGCAAAGAAAACAGCTAGGCGTGATCGCCAGTGCTACTTTCCCAGCTTGTCTTTCGGCTCTGGTGAGCTCAGTATCCGATCGCGGAAAGGGTTCGTGGGATTCGTGGGGTCCATCTTCTCGATGTTCTCCTGCTGCTTCCGATTCAGCAAAAAGGAGCAAGAGACACCCCTGTTTACATCTGGGAAACACAGATGGAGCTACGTTTACATGGGTGTCGACGTCTCAATTTCGTCCCTAAACCCTAAACCCTAAACCGATGCGGCATTCTCCCGTCCTCGATTTCCACGCGGAACCTGAAGAGTGCACTGATGTGCTCCCAGACCCATTATGAATCTTAATACTCTTCTGATGTTTACCCTAAACCCTAAACCCTAAACCCCAAACCCCGAACCCTGCATCCTACTGTTTTCTCCAGCAAAATCTGGCGGCCTTGCGCGCCACTCCGGCAGCGCCAAAGGCTTCCGCGGCTTGTCGCGCACTGCAGCAGGCAAGCGATGGCCGGAACATGCACCATGAGGGGTTTAGGGTTTCATATAGGAGTTTAGAGGTTTAGGGGTTTGAGGTTTTAGGGGTTTGGGGTTCTAGGGTCAGAACACGAACCAGAAAAACTCAGGGTTTAGGGATTTCAGGGTCTGCGGGATTTTAGGGTTTAGGTTTTTAGGGTTTTAGGGTGGGATGACCGGAATATGAACCAGAAAAAAATCAGTGGTTTAGGGTTTTTAGGGTTTAGGGCTTTGGGGTTTTGGGTTTTGGGTTTTGGGGCTTTGGGGTTTTGGGGTTTTGGTGTTTGGGGGTTTGGGGGTTCGGGGGCTTTGGGGCATGTCGTTGGCACAAGCAGTCCCTTCATTCAGACTTTCTGCCATGTTCGAGCGCCTGGGAAGTCTGCCCAGACGAACTGACCGCTGAGGAAGCCTTGGTCGGAAAAAAGGTTTTGGGGTTTAGGGTTAAGGGTTAAGGGTTCAGAGAGGTTCGCCTCGTCATGGGTCTCGTCACAGCTGCTACCAATCTTTCACTAAGGCTACATGTTTCCCTACATGCGGCTGCGAATTGCTGACGGCTTGGGGCAGTGCGGTCCGAATCCAGCTGAAGCATCAGCCCCAGCTGTCGAAGCATGTACCTGATGTCGCAGCAAAGGCTAGTACTTTCCTGGTTGTCACAAGTTTCTGCCAGCTTGAGGACAAGACTTAGTCAGGCGAGTCAAGCCTTTGTGGTCCTTGCTGACCTTGGACGCCATCTGTTCTACACACCCAGCATATGGCTTCGGGAAATGAAGAGCTGAATTTCTACTGAAAAGCCGCTGTAACGAGCACGAAGCTCCGCAAAGCAAAACACAACAGCCTCCAAGCTGCCAACCGAACCCGAGTACATGTTGGCCCAAAGGCACTGCTGCACTCTGGCGGGAAGCACGTCTGGCCTTGAACGCAAGTTTCGCCCTCGAGCAACACGCACACACAAATCGGTTGCTTGTCATCGCGGCCTCTCCAGTGCCTTATCCATGGCAATGCAGGCGCCAAGCATATACCTTAGGCTTCGGACTCAAATTTGCGATGTACTCACGCCGTGCTGAAGATCTGAAAGGTAAGCTGGGGGACGTGCTCTTGAACGTTCTGCAGCTCGGCATCGAATCTATACTCGGGAACACGTTTCAGAACCAGCCACGACCTTACAGGGCAAGGGCACGTTTTGTATGACGCAGAGTCCAAGTACAACAGTTGCCCACATGTCGATGACGTCTATGCGCGAGAAGGCTAAAAAGGAGGGATGCAAAGCACAAGAAGGCCAGAAACCTTGTCATGTTCCAGCAATGCTCGAACATCTCCTCGTCGATCTTTTTGGCCTCCGCTCAAACGCACCGTCCCGATGGGCGTGAGCAAACGGCCGCTTTGTGCAACCAGCATGCTCAAACTCTTGCAGTTTGTCGAACCATTATTGGATGCCTGTCACAAGTTGCTTTTTCTCGCTGGCAGCCAAATGATCTTGCGCGTTGCTAGCTCCGCATTTCCGAGGAGCACTGCAATCAACATCTGCCTCTCTCCGAGACACAATCCGCCTGACCCTCAGCAACTGCAGAATGTTTCTTGCCATCGATACGACAATACGCTCGGCTTCGTTGGGAGCTGGTGATGCGACGTTCATCTAATGGACCTGGGGCCATAGAAGCCCTTGCAAGCACGAGCAAGGAGGTTCGATCTGCCCATGTGGCCAGAGACTAAATTTTCAATTGATTCTTCCCGATGCGTGGTCTAACGGCTAACATCAGTGATCTTTGCACTGCCAGCAGCTCACAGCTGAAACCTTGGTCTCACCTTATTTGGCCGATCTCAACACAGATCCTTGAAACACCGCATTACTGTCACAACTGCTTCGATTGAATAGCTCGTCCAGCTGTTCACGCCGAAACGCCTCGAAGGGCAGGGCAGGGCTCGCTCAGTTCTCGCCTAGGCGATGCCCATCGCCGCCGAACGCCGAGAATTGGTCCCTGCAGGACAACGGATCAGATAGCTTTGACTTTCACTACGTCCTGCATGCTGCTCCACCCGTCACCCTCCAAAGAGGCACAAACCCTGGCCCTGGCCTGCCACCTTGGCCAGTGACGCTCCCTGCATTCAGCACAACTCTTCTGGCATCCCAGGATCTGCCTATGGGAACCTATGGAAACTGCTTCTACACATGCATGAGCTTCTTTCTTGTATTCATGACACTTGTAGGTTAAAGGCTCCTGCATCTACCCACTTTCGCGCCTCCCGGCCGGCCCCACTGGGTGAACCGCTCCTCTCGCGTCGCCACCTGGGGCCTCCGACAGCTTGTGGCTTTCCCAAAGCGTTTAGGGCAAGGTTTAGGGTTTAGGGTTTAGGGTCTAGGGTCTAGGGTCTAGGGTCTAGGGTCTAGGGTCTAGGGTTTAGGGTTTAGGGTTTAGGGTTTAGGGAGCCCTCGTTTGCAAACAAACTGTTGGGTGCAAAGCGCTTTGCTGAGGCTGCGTGCCCCAAAAAGGACGGCCACCAATCCGCACCCATGACTCTCACGAAGCAGGTGTCCTTCCAAGGCTACCAGCGGAGAGAGCAAACTCACTCAGGCAATGTTTGATGAATATGCATGTGGTAAACCCCTTGGGATCTTGGGGTCACACTAGCTTGTATAGAGAGTAACTATTGTGAAGATACAGCACTAGTCGTAGCATCAAAGTCCGTGTGACAGACAACTTATGCAGTTTCTGCAAATACTGCGTCAGTTCTAATGTTGAATTGGTCAGGCCGTCTTCTTCCCGCTTAGCCTCAGACCCTTTTTTCTGGCCGACCCGCCCCCCCCCCCCTCCCGCCACCAGCTGGAAGCGATCGTCAGCTGTAACATGCGAGTGGCCAAAAACATGAGTCCCACGTGCCCACTTACCAGGTTCTGCTAGTTCATAGTGTGATAATGAAAAGTTGCGACCTGGGTCACAATATTTGCCCACACCAGCTGGAAAGGGCAAATATTGTGACGAGGAACAAGATTTCGTGGCTGATCAAAAAAGATGATGGCAGTGGCTTTCGGCATCGTTCTGCTCGCTGCACAAATGCCCCTCCATAGTGGGCTGGTGGGTTTGGGCGCAGTACTTTGCACCAGTGCCACCTAAAGACAAAATGGAAGCCCTTTCAGGAGCAGGGAGCTAGCACTGTAGCTCGCCCGTCGAGGCCGTATTCACTGGCGTGGACAGAGTCAGAGCATGGACCAAAACGTGTTCAGCATCCCATCGACCTGCACATCGCCTGTCGCCTCCCAACCTATCGGCAGCTCTTCATCCCCTTTGTCCGTTGCTTTCTGTCATCGATAGTCAATGGCCGCCTCTACCGGAATTCCACCATCTTCCGCTCTGGGATTTCAGCGGAGACGGAGGAGGCAAGTGAGGCCAACTCGCGAAGCGTGTAACCACGCAGTGCACCATGCAGGCTCGGACCTGGGGTCCAGCTCCAACATGTCCGGCCGAGATGGCGCTGACCTCTTTGCAGAATTGCCACCTGAGCTGACTCGACATACGGATTTTGGATGTGGCGTCGGACATGACTTGAGGTGGGCACCCACAGTATGCGCCAAAGAGGGCTATGGATGGTGGCAGAATGGCCTGTAAGCACTGCTGGCGACATTTTCTGAAACTGGACGTCTGTAGGTCTTGAGGACTCAGGATGGACAGCTGCTGAGTTTGCGTGTCTGAGGTGCAAGCCAACCATGGAAGCATGTGCAAGGGCACACCCTGCCATACATGAGACTCACTGAGTATTCACCATGACACAGCCGTAGGCTGTCAGGATGTCCATAACATGCGCCTGGTATCCCTGCATGATTTGCAGCAACCCAAGCAACCTGACAGCTCTCTTAGTCCCACGGGTCCTTTATTGGTACATGTTCGACTTCAAGACAGCTGGCCAGTACACTTGCTAGCGCGCGAACTCGGCTTAAGGTGTTTCATGGTGTTTCTGTGGCAAGGCCCCCACCCGTTGAAGCCACAGCAGATTATGTACGTCGGGAAGAAGCGGATGCCTGTTTCGAGCAAAGACATCTAACATGCGCCTGCGTTCGGACTCATGATGCCATGCCTTCTGGCTGAACAGCGTAGCTGCCCATCGCACAGAGGACGCCATCATACCTCACATAACCAAGCTGCAGCATGAGCTGCATGTTGAACAATCCCTGAGCATGTCTCGCACGTTGTTCCAAGCTCTCGAGCCCGCGGCAAGCCACCCACAAGGTCACCGCGGGAGAGCTTCAGCAGGGTGAGAACACCCTGAGCACAAACCTTGGCTGCTGGAGCGGTGAGCCCATAGGCCCATAGAGAAAACAGCGTGAGCTGGGGCCAATCGCTGAAATGACGACCCCGCGATGAAATGCCTGGCAAAACAGATCGGATGGGACGGAAAAAACCAAAGTTCGAAAACTTGTCGAGCTCTGTCCGGCTGAGCTGCGAGCTCGGGCTCGCTTGTTGGCTAGCCAGCTGTCCGAAGCAACCTGGCAAACAGCCCTGCAAGGTCCTCGAATGCTCTCAAGTGGTATGCAAGCTTCGCGCCAGTGTTCTCAAAATGTCGCATGTAAGACAAAATGTTGTGTAGCAAGGTGAGTCCGCAAGCCAGCGCCTGCGGGACAGAGAAAGGAACGGCAATTGGAACCTCGGCCACAAACGCGAAGCAGATGGAACCACTGACTCCTGACTCCTAAGAAACTTTGCCACATGGGTTTGGCAATGTGCGCGCAGAGCTTGGCTTCTGGCGCATGCTATTGCTGCTGTGCCGCCTGGCATAAGTGCGGAACTGCACTTAACTACACAATCAAGCATCGGAAGCCTAGCCCTGCCTGCTAGCAGCCCTGCATGTGCAGCGGCGGCTGCAGGCATCAAGGCCTTGAACTGTCAGACTGCCAGGCACCGTCCGCGCATGGTGCATGCCCTACCGCATGCGCACATGCCGACGGCTCAATGCGGCCCTCCAGTCGACGGTGTGTGCGCTCTCTGAATTGAGCCAGGCCGACTGCAACGCATCTCCAATCTAGTGGTCCAGGATCCAGCTCATTGATGAAGCTCTGACCTTGAAGAGTGGGGCCAATCAACGACATCTTCAGGGATGCCATGTCTTCTGACGTGGACCACCACAACCTCTAGCCAGATGCCAATGCTGGCTGGTGAAGTTGTCTGCCACTCTTAGCAGGACATGCCAAAAAATGCGCAAGAGCTCAGGCACGTGCTCTGCAAGGCCTGGCACGTGGGTTCCTGCTGCGCAGAGGCACAATTCGGGCGAGGGTCGAGTCGGGAAATTGTGTCGGAAACACACTACCCCGGCCGAGTCCGGCAAGCTTCGGGAAATCATAGTGCTCAGCCAAATTTTGAAACTATGTAGACCTGTCAAGCCTTCGACATGTACAGTACTGTTCGGGCAGGCCTACCTTTAAAATACATCGGTTTAGGGCTAAGTCACACTGCCCCTTGTGGGGTTTAGTTTTTCGAATGCAGCAGCAAAGTTGAGTTAGAAGCCCTTAACCCTAGAACAGGTTGGAGTTCCTAAAAACAGATAGGTTGAAGAGTATTTCAAGCCCTAAACCTTGCAAAACAGGTACTGGTTTGGATGGCGTAAACCCTGAAGGGAATGGGTGGAGTTAGAAGTCCTGAGCCCCCTTAACTTTAGAAGTTGAGCTGGCTCTTCACCCTACAACAGCTAGTGGAACCCCAAAAACGGAACAGGTTGAGTTCGAAGCCCTAAGCTCCAAGAGGGGTACTGTGACGAAGAGGCCCTGTAGCGAGCCCAAAGGCTTACTGAGCACTGGAAGCCTAAACACTAAGCAGACAAGTTGAAGGGCGCAGGTTAAATTACAAGCCCAAAACCCCAAAAAGAGGCTTGGAAGTGTTTTATTCCATGGACTGGCTCTTTGTGATTTCTGACTTCGTGCTTTCTGACTTTTGGTTCCGTTTCACTGTCACTCTGAGTACACAGTTGCCGGGCATGTAGGCCAATGCTCGATCTCTTCTAGGCAACCATCTATATAACATAATCCCTTACTGTTCTCATTTCCTTAGTTGTCCAGTAACCTGGGGGAATTCAAGGACCTTCGGTACTACCCCAAAAAAGTTAAAGGTTACCTACTCTACTGCTAGGTTTCTCATATTTCACATGAAGGAATATAGGAGGTTGAGCTTGGAATTGAAGAGCTGAGAACTGAACTTCGCCTCGCCTGCTCGTTTTGGTCGTCGTCTTCGCCTTTGACCGTGGATGGGACAAACAGTGAACACATGTTCACACTGTCCACTGGCATCACTGCGGCATCACCCGGGATGTGACCGGAAGAACACTCAACTCGCCACAAGGATTTCAAATTTACCTGATGCCCCTGGCCGCATCGACCTGTGCCCTGAGGTCCGCGGCATGGAAGCTGTTTTGAGCTCACCTGCCCGATGGGGTAACTGCGGGTCAGAGACTTGCGCTGTTTGTGAGGCGAAATCTCCGCCAGGCCTGGGCCAGCTGCACAGGCTCACCGAAGAGAAAGGCCAGCGCATCTGGCTCGCTGAGCTTCCTTCACAAAGGCACTTTAGCTTTAAGGCTTTTTGGCGAAGAAACTCAAAACTCGTCTTGCTCCGGTCAACGCAACAAGAGGCAGTTCTGCAGTGGCGATGTTTCGCAGCGCCTTGGAGACCGCCGCGCCACGCCTCAGCTGTCTCGTGTCAAAGCCCGGTCTAACAAGATCCGAACCCAGCTGGTATCCGAATTCGAACTGCCAAAAATCCTCCATCATGAATGACAAATGTGGAGGCCTCGGTTTCTATCTTCATCCTGCCCGGCCATCCTAGAGTCCTGGAGCCCTCGTGTCTTCAGGCGCAGCTGTTCTGCCGAGTGGCTCAGTACAGCCATGGCGGAGTCAACAAGGGCTTTGAGGGATGAAGGGGAAACACGACGATACAAGGGCTTAGCAGTGTTAGAGGCGGCTTAGCAGTGGCGGCCCTGCAGTGTTCCATTCATACTTGCTTGAGCTGCCCAATGCCTCGGCTATCCAGGCTATCCGCAGTTCACAAGTCTCCCATGCTCACAACCCGTCTTGACGCGTCTGACTTGTCTGCAATGCTGCGGACAAAAGATGGGCTCGACTTGCTTCGCACCTGAGAATAAAACTTCTGGACGTGCCTTGGAGCCTTCCAGCACCAGTCGCTGATGAATCAGCCAAGCGTGCAGGATCATGAAGTAGGACTGTGGAAGGATGCGGAGCTGCTGAGCGCACCCATCGACAAGTTGGCACACTCCTCTGATTGCAAGATTGCTGGATATTGCTGGCCTGCATGTTGAAACCCGCGTCCACGCCGAACGCATCGAGGAGGGGCTCGTTGTCCTCGGCAGATTCCGCAGATGCATGTAGGTTTCGTCGGTTGCTTGGTCTGACTGCTTGGGGAAGATCGCTTAAGAACCGCCAAGGCACGAGTCTCTCAAGGATCAGCTTGTGGTACCGAGCCACCTCCAGATCGAGATGTGTTGCCGAACGATTGGGACGGTTGAAACGCTGCATTTGCTGATCGCACTCGATTTCTCTCCAGCAGCTAGCAAACTCCGAATCGGAAGGCGCGCCGTCAGCTTCCGTGCCCGAAATGGATCGCCAATCTGGTTCATCAGCCTTCAGAGGAGGAGTAGCTTTGTCCAGCTAATATCAATGGGGTGTGTGAACTGCTGAAGCACCGCTACCCTGCACACAGACGAGGTAAGCCATCATTGCCTACTTTGAGCTCTGAACATCGTAATTGCTGCGGTGTCATGGCATGTGGCAGCCAGAGATTCGGCACCTTGTTGGATGCCACAGCGGCAGCTCACCGATGGGATCGTGGAGGTCAAGAATGTACCGTTCCACCTCTTCTAACACAACATTGGACATGCTAAATTCTGCAGAAGTCCCAAAAAAATGCTTGGTCAACAATGACCGTATCAAGTGATCGCGACTGCTGCCTCTTCAGCTTTGAGCTCGCAGATTGGATCCTTCAGGCAAGGCCCCATGTGAAGGACGAATTCTCTCTGTTGTCTGAAAGCATCTGACTACACAATTGCCACGAATTCGCCGGCATTGTGCCTATTGATGTTAATCCGAAGAGTTGAGAGCAAAACGCTGCTGCATGCTAAACGCGCCTGCATGATGGTCATGGACAGGGCGCGCAAATGCAGAATGTCCTGCAAGGATGCTTCCGAGATGTGGTGCCGTTGATATCATGACCATGCCCTACCCTGCCAAGCCATGCTCTTGGTTGTGGCTAAGTCGGCTAAGTCGTCCTCTGGCATCAGCTGATTCTCGAAGTTTGCACCTGGTGTTGCAAAAGCCCTGAACCGCTGCCGGTAGGGACCTTGGTTCTGAAGAGCGCTGGCCGCACTCCCGACAGCCGGATGATACTGCTGGCAATTGCCAGCGCAAGTTGATTAAGGGGCACGCATGACCAGCTCGCGCCAGCATGAACAGCACCTTTCCCAAAAGCCACAACGCGTCGGCAGCTCTTGTCTATAAAGGCAGCAATTGCGTCTTCTGCCCAGGATGTGTGTTCAGCATCATGTGTATGCACGGAAGCAACAAAAGCGATAAACGCAAGAGACTGGGATATACGATTCATCAGCACCTAGTCTCCGCCAGGAGCTGAGCGCGCCCGCTCTGCGCGATGCCTGGCACAAGTGCAAAGGAGTAAACCTGTGCCTACCATGTTCAGCAAGCAGGCTAGCACCATTTCGGCATCCAAATACAGGTTCACCTAGGTTCACAATCGTATTTATTGCTTATCCAGGCCTGGCGAGCGGTGGCAGTCCACCGGCTGGAGCAAGCCATGGTTGCACTATGTTTGGCACATTGTGCATGCAACTGCTGCAACTTTTGGATCATGAGGTCATGGCAATATCGTTTGATCTGTGGGTTTGGCACTTCAATCTTGTAGCTGCGTGACAACACCCACAACTTGCCAGTCAATCAAGCATCACCGGCAGCTCATGTTGAGATGTGGCTCCTGGGTGTGCCGCGTCCAATTTAAGGGCCGCCCTGCCCCCCCCCCCCCCCCCCCCCCCCCCCACCCCGACAAAAAGGAGTGATTGACCACAAGTCAAATGACTGCATCACTGTTTAGCATTGCAGTCGCACATCTTTAGGTTGGGTCTGCTGTCTCGTGCGACGTGGCGATGTCAGCGGCTGCAACGCCTTGACGTGCTTCGGAGGGCGACGTGTAGTTCAGCCCTATGAATTCTGTGGATATAGGACAAAGGTTGCGTGAAGAAGCCGGAGCAAGCACCCACAACCAACCAGTGCATGAAATCTGGAGACAATATGTCAACTGCAACTCAAGTCTACCAGCTTCTGCAACTGGACTACACATGCACGGAGGGGCCCGTCTGTATTGGCCGCTGCGTTTGCAGATGCCAGGGCTTCCCTCACTGCGCAGGATTTAAACATTTCGACCTGCTATTGGCAAAGCTCCCAGAGCGTTCTTAGAGGTAACTGAAAGTGCAAGACTCGTTCTGGAGAGTTCGTTGTGGCTCCAGGAGCCCACCAACCTACTGAACTTACTGCTGGTTCCAGTGTGGAGGCGGAGGTCGTGCGTCGTCAGACCGGGACCTGGACAAGGGCAAACTTTCCTGTAAAACAATGACGGCTAAACACGGCCAAACGCTAGACCTAGCCATGTCAGCTCCTTCCTTCCCATCATCGTTGGCGAAACCGCGGCAGCGTGTCGCGAAGCAACGTCAGCTGCACCTGTTCATTGAATTTTGCGACTGTCATAGCCAGCCCTCGAAATCGCAATCCGATGAACACCAATCTCAAATCAGGAACATTTAGTTCGCTACTTTTTAAATCCTCTGAAAGGCTGCACCTCGTGCAGCGGTAGCTGCTGTTCTTCGCAGTGAGGATGCAGCCGCGGCCGCAGCCGAAACTGCCATGTCCAAAGGTCCAGGCACCTCGAAAACCTTTGCAGGCTTGGCATCGATGACGCAGAAGACGAACTGTCCGCAAAGCGGACAGGATGGCCGCTCTGTTGGGGCATCGGACCTGTCTGCCGGTAATACCTCCTGGAAGCCTCGCCCCGTGCTCCGTATCAAATCTTCTGCGCAGGCCAGGCAAAGACAAAGATGACTGCAGGGGAAGCAAACGTGAGTCGCGAACTGGTCGCAATTGCTGCAGCATGTTGCTGGCGGCGTCTGGTCTTGAAGCCAGCTTGCCAGCCTCCCTGCCTTGTGTGCCAGGAAATTAGAATCACACTTGGACTTCGCATTCCCGCCCCCCCTCCACCCCTCCGCCCCCGCAGCCCCGAATAACACGGGATGCCTCTATGCGAAGACTCATTTCAAGGTTGACAAGAGGTGTTATTCTTGGGGCCTTTCCAACCAAATGGGATTTCAGATTACAAGGGGTCAGAATCAGCGTGTCATGGTCAAGCAGTTCAAGCTACTGTCGCAAGTTGGCACGCTCTGGCAAGTATCCAAGTAAAGCATCGTGCCGGACACCTTCACAACCAACACAAGACTCAACAAATGCCACATCAGCCGAGCATCCCGTCGCTCCACTGCTCTAGCTATGCGCGAGGCCGCACCCCTCCGGCGGCGCTGCCGCCGCCGGCGTGCCCCTGGCGAGCAAGACATGGCTGGGGAGACATCGCAACAAGGAAAGCAGATGAGATCAGCTTCGATGAGGGGAGACTAGCCCACCTGCCTTGTACACCCAAATAGATAAATTAGAAAGACCAACTAGCTTACGCATGCTTACGCAGCTTAAGGCTACGCAGGCAACGTGTGGATAAACCCGGGTGCCCGTGAATGAAGACAGGCTTTTGCAACTCCATCAGCACATGGATTGCTGGAGGGTAAAGATGGCTAAAGAATGCGAAGAGCATACGGCGCCTGCGCGAGCCTCTCGCTCGCGGGTCTCCAGCTCGCCCGTGAGCAAGTTGAAGCGGCGCAGGCTTGGATTGCTTGGATTCTCGGCATCCGTGGTATCATCCTTGGTCTCAGCCTCCTCGATCTCATCTTCCGAGTCCTCCTCTTCGGCTTGCTCCTGGTTGGAGACATGCGGCGAGAGAAAGTAGGTGCAGGCAAGGCCAGTCAGGGAGCCAAAGCAGCCCAGCGCAAGGATCATGAACATTGCCCGCTCGTCATCAGAGAGCTTGGACCAAAAGGTCATTTTCATCAAGTCCTCTTTCGCTGAGAGCGTCGAATATGGGCACACGGAGGCGAAGCTCTCCTTGTCCACGGTTTGGCCCACTTGGAACTTTACGGTGTCCACATCGAATTCGTACTCTTCCAGCAGCTCCCAAGATCCGAGGGTGCCACACCGTATCGTCACGTCTGGATCATAACCTAGCAGCTGCAGCTGCATGCACTTAAAGACTCATTGCATGGTCGCGACTCATATCCACAAGCTTGAGGTCAGAGGTCAGAATGAAAGAATGAAAGAATGAAAGAATGAAAGAATGAAAGAATGAAAGAATGAAAGAATGAAAGAATGAAAGAATGAAAGAATGAAAGAATGAAAGAATGAAAGAATGAAAGAATGAAAGAATGAAAGAATGAAAGAGAGAGAGAGAGGGACAGATAGAGAAAGGCTGATCACAGCGCAGCCTGCACTATTTAACGATGCACTTCATGAAAAGCCCCAGCCACCACGGCAAAGAGCTTACCCGCAACTCCCGCAACCTACTGCTTTTCGGGAGCACTGCCGCAAGTTGCGAACAGGCCGCGCTGCGCGCAGGCCAGGCGCAAGATGGAGCCCACACGCAAGCCTCCGCCACTGTCCTAGGCCGGGACAGGTGAGGCCACATCATGCCCCTGAAAGCAAGCTCCCGTGTGGTAATTAGCTAGAACGTTACAACACGGGACACCAAGCTGCGACGATCAAGTGCTGGTGCATGGGCCAGGATGGGCAATCCTGGAAGCAGCGCCTCAGCAGCCGGGAAGTTCAGTCCACCTTGAGCTGCTCAAGGTGGACTATTTCGTGCCTTCAGTATGCCAAGGCATGCCGATAACACCAGCCCTAGGTACACGAAGCCAGCTGCACGTTAATCCCACAACCATGGCACAGCATCAGTGATGTCCATGTTCCATCCACGCACTCCTCAACAGCAACTTTGCTCTGCCAGGAGCGAATCATTTGAACGCATCTGACACCTGGCTCAAAAAACAACCTTCGCCAAGCCGCAGATTCTTCGATCAGTGCAGACGCCCCTGAACAGCCACCGCATGCAAGAACTACCGCTCAAGGCCGTCTTCCCCTATCTCTTGCTCGCACACTTACACAACAGAGCTCGGCAGCGTGCGCCACGGAGCAGTGGGCCTCTGGTGCTGGCAGAGCTGTTGAATCCAATGGGCGGCAAAGCTGAGAAGCCTGCCAGGAGGAATTTCACATCAAGATTGAACTCGCAACTGAGGCACCGCCCCAAGGATGGACCAGCAGAAGCACGGGTGTTCCAGCGCCGCGGGCCCAAGCACAAATCAGTTCCCATCAACCCCAAGGTCGAGAAGGCCGACCCCGCAAGCCAAGCCGCATTCTACGACATGGCCCTAAACCAGGAACCCACCACAAAAATGTCCCAAAAAGGGATTTTAAAATTGGGGGGCACCATAATCCCTACTAAGGACTGTTAGTATAAGGGACTTCCCATAACCTGAAGCGGCACTCATCCCGTCCTTGTGCGCAGGTTGCCAAGAGCTGGGTGCCGTGAGGAACGCTGCGGTTCCGCTGCGAGGCCAGGGCCCCAGGGATCAAAACCTCAGTTTCTGACGCTGTCGGCCCCAAGGTTCGTAGCAAAGGTTTCGGGCCTGAACGAGAATACAACAAAGTGCGTATACACATATAGAAAAATATATATATATATATATACATACATACATACATACATACATACATACATACATACATACATACATACATACATACATACATACATACATACATACATACAGTATATATATATATACATATATAAAGATATATATATATATACTACCACATAAGTATAAACACACACATATATATATATATATATAGTCCGGGGGACTGTGGGCGTGCACTGTTTTCTGTTTTTCACTCTCTCGTACTTGATAACTGTCGTTCAATCTTCAGGTGGTGATCTTTCTCATCTCAATTATGAAATTGCTTTTTCATTATTTATGTGAGAACATGCTATGTATGAAGTGCTACTACGCTTCATGCCAGGCCTTGATCACATCGAAATAGCTTTTCAGATCAAGTGAGTATCCCAGTGTTTTGGGCTCTGGCAAGACATCCAGGTGAGTCTATACCTGGCTTAGTTCGTGAACTAGGAGGACAAGAGGGAGAACTCACTTTCGATGAGGCTGTTGGTCAAGTAGCAGGTCAAAAACTCAAAGGACCAGAGACACGACCCATCAAGTGCGATCGTCCTGTGGGAACGGTGTCGGTCCCCCCTCCCAACGACCTACCCTTGCTTCAGCTTTTCTTAGTATAGTCAGAACAACGAATCCTAAAATCGCATATTTGAGCACCGGGAAATGAAGGACAGCTATAGGGACAATTGGGACACCCACCTGACAGGTTCCGATAAGCCAGCATTGGGCTACTCTACGTTTTCCGTACGGTTTTGGTGGAGAGTCCTGAAATATTGTGTTTTTTTTTAGTTTTTTGGTTCTCCGTGGGACTGGAGAGTCTAGAAATATTGTTGCTACTGGGTTTTTTCGTTCTTCAGCAGCGACAAAAGGCAGAGAAAGTGCACGCCCACAGTCCCCCCTTTAATAGATATATATATATATATATATATATATATTTTTTTTTCTTTACATATATATGCTGTGTCTGTGTCTGTGTCTGTGTCTGTGTCTGTGTCTGTGTCTGTGTCTGTGCCTGCACAGTAATGCCGCGCAGCAAGGGAAAGTCACATGTTGAAACACTTCAAGTACCAGCTGTCACTAGTTCCCTTGGAACCGCGCAACAACGCAGGCTGAAGCGTTTCCAAATGATGCCGACTGTCACCCAAGGTCTATTGCGAAATACTGCGAACAACCTGAACTGGTATGGAGCGCGGCCCGGATAAACCCAGAGACTCACCCCTATTGCCTGCTGCATCTCCGCAAGAACCACCGCGGTCCCAAACAAATGATACCGCATCACCGCAGTAAAAACACGTCACAGGAGACAGGTTACTGGTCCTACAATGTGAGTTGGTATGAATTGGCGGAACTTATGACGCTCTTAGCAAGTTCCCACGAGCATGGACCTAACTACCTCTAGTGAGTGTGTCTGTGTGTGTGTGTGCGTGTGTGCACTCACTAACAGAAGGACAAGTCACCGAATATTCTGGTCCTGGGACAAAAGCCTCAGAGCACCATTGGCACAAGCATGCGCGCATCCCAAAGTGAGACGACTCGCCCAAGAAGCACATGAGTTCACATGCTGCCCTTAGCCGCGGCCCCACAAAACCGTCAGGCCTCGCAGTCGCTGAAGCAACGCAGGTCTGAAGGAATCCAGCGGCCATTGGCACAGGTGACCTGCAAGACAGCCAGAAAGTTAGATATGCTGATTGCTGAACACGCTTCTGAATGCACAGAAGGCCGCGCTGACCCTCCCGGACATGTTGCGTGAGGTGCCCTTCTCGAGGTTTGCTCACTTCTTGATTCGCCGAACTTCAGCAAGCTGCGCTAAGCCCCATGTGTACGCTGATCTGTCGAAGACAAAAGAGATGTGACCTAGACTCGTTCAACACCTGGTTTTCGCCAAGCACTGGTTCACTTGTAGCCTAAGAACCGCCAAAGATAAGAACAATCACTCGTGCTGCATCAAGCCAGCTCGAGAGAACTGTTTGGGCTGCTATGCGTCTTCCGCCGAGCAACAGCACCGCGCTTCATGGCTCGCTCGCTGTCCTCACCTTCCCCATGTTCCAGCTTGCCTGAGACGCCGCAACAGGTACGTTGAGCGCAGCGATCCCGGGCCCCCTCTGACTTTCGGATTCCCCAAACACTCTGCTCCAGCATTTGTCTGCAACCTCCTACGAAGTGCCCATGCGCCACATTCCTTGTTCCCTACATGCGGGCTACTGTACAAAGATCTCTCTATGCCACAGCATGCTGAAATGAAACTATGGAGGGATCATCGCTCGTTCATCTGAGCCACACCCGATGATGACCTTGCTTCCTCAAGGCGGCATGGAATGACCACGGCACGAGCTCAAAAACCGGTGGCGTTGTGGGCATGTTGTTTCGCAACCCGCGTCCGTGTGGTGCGTCTGCAGCAGCCGTGGGGGCAGAAGGCTCCATTGACTCACCATTTGGTTGCGACATATCTCGGATCACACGGAAACCTGGGCAAGGACATAGTACAGTGGGCTGTGAAATGACGGGTGAAACTACAAATCAGGAGTCAGAATCAGACCAAGCCACGCGATTGCTCCAAAACTGTCGCATTGAATGGCTTGCAGTCCTCAGCAGTTCTGCTCGTGCCATCGGTTCTGAATGTTTAAAAACCCCTCAGCCGAGGTACCTTGGCGCAGTATAGGGACAAGGGGCTCCACTGTCCATCGTTGCCTCAACAGCATGAAGAACAGCCAAAACAGCACATTCCGCCACTCACGAGTCCACCCTGAATTGTGTTGCATGACGGTTCCTTGTTGCAACTCGCGGGCTCTGCAATCACATGCTCCGGTGCGTGCTAGATAAAAAAATCAACTGGCAAGACTACCAGATCGACACCAAGTTGCACACAACCCGTTCCACAGCTCCTGGGACGCGACCGTAGCCATCCACACAGCGAATGCCAATGTGTGTACCTTTTCCGCACAGGGCAGCTTCCAGCCACTTCCAGGCAGACGGACATCAGACGACATCGCCATGTGCACGCCCAAGAATGCAGCCATGCGTCCATGCGGAACACCTGTGATATTGATCTGCATTCGTCGGACATCATCCTGGACAGCGAGGAGTTGCGCAGTCTGAGCACTGGGCAGAAGAAGACGACGCCAATGTCCAGTCAAGCCACATGCCGTGCTCGCTGTGTACTTACTAATTAGGTGCTAGAGTTGCCGTATCAATGCATTCATCCGACACTTTCTCGACACAGGCTGGGAGCTGGACCGATATAAAGCTGCTCCATGAATCGGTGTCCTGCAAACTTGAGGCGCAAGCCAAACCCGAAGCCCTAACCCCAACCCCGCAAGTGAACCCTTAAACCCCCAAACACCTTTTGGCCCAAACCCCTTCATCCCCTAGGCCCCAGACCTCTACACCCCCAAATCCCTAACCCTCAGCCCCAACCTGTAAACACCAAAACACAAACTACACTAAGTTTCGTGACAAGGGCCGTAACCGACCTTTAACAATCATGGCTGCTTGTTCCAGTGCGACACTTGCAATTGGCAAGCCATGTTTCTGCTCTGAATTTTCTGTGGGCACAGTCAGGCGAAGAGCTCACTGGCCTCTAATATCGACGCCGCTACATATTGGGCATCGGCGGCACCTGCTTTTGAGTCAATCGGGCCACTTGCTTTACTGCGATACCAGCCGTCACAGACTTCTTCACTCTGAGGTGAGAACCCACTACCTCGTACCCCTCGGACAGCTTGTAGCGGGGGCAGTCCGCTTTGCAGTCCTGGACACCACGACTCTACACTCTGCCGGTTCTTCCTGCACACTCACACTTGCGAGCACACACACACATGAGGGAACACTCACCAGCCAGCCAAGATACTGGAATGTCTTCTAATCCACTCCAGCTGCCTTCTACCTGGGCAGTAGACAAAGTGGACAAACAATCTCAGGCCAAGCCGCTGCCCAAAGGCCCACTCGCCGCGAGCAGCCACTTAATGGTCACAGCAAAACAACCACACTACTTCAGTAGAATAACTAGCCCGCGACAACTACAACTCAGGCGAACAATGTAGAGTTGACACAGGGAGAGGTAAGAAGCCAATGCCAATCCCATCTGTTAGACCACGCATTAGATCTTTCTTCGTTTCTGGCGTGCACGCGAATGGCGTGCTGGGTGAACGGGGAAGCTTTTACCATGAGTTGCTGTGCCCGCCGGGGTGGCATTTCTCAGAGGAGCTCCTGAGCAGCCCAGCTCAGGCTGCTTCTGCAAGCTTCTTTGACGGACGTTGCCGGGATGTGCTTTGCATATGATTCACATTGCGGCTTGGACTCATTGCGACCCAGCAGACAGAAAGCAACAGCATTTGTGGGTCCCGCCAATCCCCAACCACTCAGGCTGCCGCACATTGCAATTGCACCGGTTGTTGTGGCTGAGCAGCTGATGCATATCCTGCTTCATGCATGATCCCACGGTTGCAAAGCTTGAGTTCAAGCCATTCGGCTTGTTGACGGAGATCGGCTCTCGAACGGACGAGAACACGAGAGGAATGAGCGAGTGCAAGTACGACGCTGACTGAGGGCCTGCTGCACAGCTGATGTGCCACCTCAGTGTACAAGCATGTGCTTGCAAGCCTCGAACATGTGTAGTCAAGCAAACACTCAACATTTGAGGCTTTCGCACGGAACCTTTCTGGGCAATGTTGTCCCCCTTGCTGCCATTGACCGCCTGAACGCGGAAGCGGGTCAAGCTCAATGCATGTCCAAGCAGGCCCGCACTGCAGTGCAACCCACAACAGCTCTTTTGCCTTTTAACGGAAGCAGATTGGAACCAAAGCTCAAACAACGCAGCCTACCACCAGAAACTCGCATGAAAACCCCCAACCAACTCTTTGGGTCTTCGCGCGCATCGGCACCCGGCCTAAAAAATACGTGGCCACTGCGGTACAAGGCTTCAGAAGCTGAGGGTGATGCACACGCGAAGTGGTCATGGACCATGATGAACTACGGCATTACAGTGGTCATGATTGGGAGATGAAGGAAGCCAATATGCCGACCACATGGGCCAGATTTATGATTTTCCGTGCCCTAAACGAAGCTCGCTAACTGAAACACTCTTTCCGAACGCTGGCCAGGGCGTAGGGCCCGGGCATAAGCGCTCGTGAGCTCCGGAGTCAAGCAATCGCCGGTGCACACCAGCCAAGGGGTAGTCCAGGCGCCGTCCTTTCAAGGGCGGCGCTCTTGCTGTCAGCAATGCATCGGCCTATGTCCACCTGCCTGGCAGATAACTGATGCAGACGGCGGTGCTTCCACGGAGTCCATGTCATCACTCTCGCCTTCGCATTTGTCTCCGGGGACCAATGGGTGTCAGGATCATGTTGTCTCGGCTGCTTATAGAGCCTACGAGGAATCTCAGGCCCCTACCGCGTTTACAGGTGACCTGTCGCGTAGACCCATGCTCGAAACCTGTACCTTAGCAGCCGAACCAGATACAGAAATGTGGTAAATACATTTCTTGCATCACAACAGATATCACAACAAATCACAACTCCACCCGCAAGGGCCCGGGCCGTGGACTTCATACCTGACAGGTTAGAAGCTGTGGCGCTTAGCTTCTCCCTTTTTCTCCCTGATGTTCTGCCCTTGCTTGAAGCATAGGCACACAAACTGTGTGGCACAAATCGTCTGGCGTGTGGACACACATAGGGAGAGCTCCGATTCGAATGGACAGCTGCAGGACGTCAAGCGACGCACCACCCGCACACCCTTCTAACAGTACACTGCAAAACCACACTCATTCTCTCAGAGCACGAAGCTAATGTGCAGCAGAAGTGTCTTCCATGATGCCGACACGAAGGCCGGGCAGCTGCGGCCACAAGACACTGCGAGTGGAGACCACTCGCCGTCCTTCGTGACAGCAACTGTGGCTTCATCAATCAGGACAGAGTTTCTCCGGCGCGGGTCCTGACACTCCGACTCCACGAGCCTGACATCATCGACAGTCCCATACCCGGCAGCGCACGTGACGTAGACTTTGTTGGCCTGGGTCCAAGAAATTTGGTCCAGCAGTGGTCAAAGCCAAAGTCGCAAGGACCGTATGGAACCATGAACTCCAATGTGTTCGTCGAGATTCGTGGGCCATCTCCTCCTTGCCTCCCGATACGACGTACTGAGGGCCCATGTGGAAGGGAGGGCAGCCTTATCTGCAAATCCCGCTGGAATGCATGCTTCATGATGCCTCATCGGATGCCTCATGATCTGCAGCTCAGAAGCTCTGGCATGCCTGCTCACTACAGGCTCGCCTCAGTGAAACTGCGCAAGGGCCAAGGCCCAGGGTTGTGGCGCGTTACGGTATGTTGCGATTGGCCAATGAAAAGTCGGCATACTCAGAAATTTTGAAAACTGTACCAAGAAAGTGCCGCCAGTGGTGCTGTTGGGCGGGCCGGGTTGCTGCATCGCACTTTAGGTCTTCTACCACCATCCTGAGACCACATGACCCAATGGTGCTGCAGCCGGCATCTGTAAACATGCCACCGTTCTGTTCTCGCCGACTCCCCCCCCCCCATGCAACATTGAAGTTCAGCTCATCACCATGACATCTGGAAGAGCGCCCGCGAGGCAGAATTTCCACATCGTGCAATGTGCATGAAATGCGAGTCATGCGTCTTCTCGTTCTCGAAGTCAGTCCAGGAACACCATACATCTCGTGTTTGGACACCACCGCCGCACTTCTGGCCTTGTTGCCCGGCTACATGAAGCGCATGAGGGTTATGCAACGTTACTGCCGAGCGCTTACATGGTAACATGCAGTGAGATTCAGAATGCTTGCTCTCTGCAGGGCTGCAGGACAAGTGCACTGGGAGCGCCACTGCATGGCCCCCAAGCATCACCTAAGCTCGTGGCTCATACTGCACGGCTATTTCAATTGGGTGCCGCTCGCAAAAAAGGCCTTCTAAGGCTTCATATCGGCCGCAGAGGTGCTGATGTCCCATGCGAAGCTTCCCAGGACACGCAGAGAAAAGAACTGCATCAAGGTACCAAAGCCATCTGTCCACACTACCTGACATGTGATCTGATTTGTGGTCTGAGGCTGTCTCAGAGAGAGAGGGACTGAAGGAGCAAACTTGTCTGTCTCTTGGTTCTCGGCCGCCTGGCCTGGCTGCGAGCTGCTGCAGAGCGGGATATGTGAGTCAGCCTGTCCAGTGCATCAGCTCCACTTGTGTCACCTCAGAGCTCCCACACTTCTTGACTCCCGACTCAACTGCTAACACTGTAAACTCCTCTTAAACCCAAACACCTATAAGGCCCACAAATGGTCGAGACATCTGTGACGGAGCTTCTTGGGCCCGGGCGCAGACCGTCCGAGACCAGAAGCTCTGCTTTTAGAGCGGCCGTGCAGCACTCAACCTTGCCAATGCCTGCATCCCAAAAGCAGAGGGCAAGCTGACATAGAGTTACATGTGTATGCATACGTTATGTATCTGTATATATGATGATGAGATGTCTACACATTCACATGTAGAGATACATGTACATGCACTTACACACCCTGAACAGCGTCCAAGGGACTAGGATTTCGCAGCGGTGTGGCAGATCGGTTCCGTGCGCATGCTCCTTGTGAAGTGCAGACTCGTCGTCTTGCGCGATGGTGCTCTCGCCGCGGTCCCGTGCACATTCCTCTCCTGACTTGGAACCTCGTTGCGAGGTGCTGTGAGTGCGGCCGTCGCGAAGTGCAGAACTGTCCATCGCTTTTGGCTAGCTGTTGGAGCCTCGTCGTGAAGCTCTTCGAGTGGACCAAGAGTGCACTTAGAGCGGTCCTGGAATGAACTTGGTTTCGTGCTTCTAGAGTGGTCTTGGAGAGCTCTTGGTGTGTTTTTAGAATGCTCCTCAGAGTTGGGCTGCTCCACGGGAATGGCTGGTTTTTCGCAGGTCGTTCGATTCACGCACTCGCGGTTAACTCTTTTCGGGTAAGCGTGTACTAGGACGTTCTGAGATGTAGGCTCGGCACAGCAACGCACGTGTTCGAACAAGAATGTGAACTCCCCAACAGAACGGCAGGCATCAAACTTACATTGGCCCTGCGAGAGGGCTCCGAATCTGAGGAAAGCACTGATCCTGGAAGTATCGAGGTTTGCCGCCTGCCGCTGCTTTCTCATCGCTTGTGCTGAAAGGCCAATCCCGGCAAACGAAGAAGCTAGCTGAACGATCGGCTCAGGCATGGACATGTGCCAGCTGCTCGTGACAATCAACCTTAAAGGCTGGCTCCTGCACTCCCAACAAACAGAGACGTTTGTAAAATCATGCGGCTGAGGACTTCGATTTCACTGCGTGAATGTCACTCTGAAACGCCGTCCTTGAGGCCCGGCACCTTGGTCTGGGGATCTGGTTGTTTGGCAAGAACTCAAAGCGCGAACTGGATCTCTGCCGTTGCGCTCGCGTGTACTGTAGTTTTTCTTGAGGTCAAGCTCAGGCCCCCCTGGTGACCTGGCGACCCCCTTTTGCGACCCCTATTGTGAACCTCCGAGTGCTCCCAAGGATGCCTCGGGACCTAGGGGCCCCATGGGAGCATGCTGGAAGCTGAAGACGACAGTTACCACAGCTTCTCGAAAGGGCAACGTCATCATTGAAACACAGTTGAACAACATGTGAAATCAAGTAGACTTGATTAAAGGCAAGTAAAATATTCATTTTAAAAAGTAATTCTTTACTCAAGGAGACTTCATTAAAGGCAAGTAAAATCTTCACTTAAAAAAGCAATTTTTACTCAAACAATTGATTATAATTTTCAATCAAAGATATTGAAAACGTGAGTAAGAATAATGGAATCACGTTTGCAATAACTTTAATTTCCGTTTTCTGATGAATTTGTGATACTTAATGAAGTGTAGATATTTTTCAATGAGTTTTAAATGCTCTTCATTAATCCGACTTTGCCTTGAGCTAAATTACGGGGATGTGCCTTGTGGCCCAACACTGGGCGCCGGGCCCGTCTTGTCGACAGGACAAGGAGCAAACTGGGACACTCGATTCGGGTTCTGAAGAACGGCCAGCATTGTGCAGGCTGCCTGAGGATGATGCTGGCCCCATGCTGCCACTCAGTCTTCAGCTTGCAACCGGGTGCGTATGCCGGAATTTTCGACTTGGGGTGAGGGGGAGGTCCATCCTTCGGTGGTTTGTGCAGCTTGGTACGGCTCCACGGCGGACGCCTCCCAGCTGTGTACTTTACTGTCCTGCGACCGACAGGGGTCAGGTAGGGCTAAGAGTGACGGCCTCCACGCTTCGAAACTTACTCGTTACGCCCCTTCAGCAACGGGTAGTGGACACTGTTCACTGAGCCCGGGAAGCAATGCTTCCAACAGGTCTTACGGCCCTTCGTTGGTTGCCGGGACTTACCTAGTGTGGGACGCCACTAGACGGGAACTCTGGGTGTCGGCTCATCTGAGTACGGCCCACCGGCAGCCAGTTCGTGAGTATTGGACGCAATGACTCACATTTAGGGTGACGGAGGCAGAATCTGTCTCCCTTGAAACATGTGCTCAAGAGATTCCACAGCTTTGTCCAGCACGCTGTGGTGTTTCATGTTAGCCGAGCCTCACAATCTTCTTCTCTCACTTCCTCATACGCAATTCGTTTTCCTTCTCTGAGGCTTCGGCATGTCTGACTCCAAGGAAGCTTGCCACGAGTTCTTTTAGTGTTGTCTTGCTGCTGGGTTTTTGTATGTTCGTGGCAGCGGTAGTAGCCTGGGCCTCGGAGCATTAGGTTCGCCCATTGCATTGCACAAAGGGATGAGGGAGGCAGCGATGATCGCAGGACAGTCCCCCCGCGCCCGCCCCTAAGCCTATGAGCATGTTGGTCCTGTCTAGTTTGTTTGTTAGTGTCTTGTTTGGTTTCTTAGCTCTTTGTCTAGGCACGTCGAAAGGACGACGCTGGCAACGGCACATCTCCATGGGCGGGGCTAGCCAATGGTATGGCACCTTCCGAAGTTTCAGATTCGCCCGCTATGAGCACAGCTCGCTGCCCAGCGTTCAATAAACTGTCGTCGTCGTCGTCGTCGTCGTCGTCGTCGTCGTCGTCGTCGTCGTCGTCGTCGTCGTCGTCGTGGTCGTGGTGGTGTTCGTGGTCGTGGTTTTGGTTGTGGTGTTGCTTTGCTTGTGAAACTTTGAAGAAAACACTTTCAAATGCTTTTAGTCGCTTGGGGCAGATGCCCTCTCGCCCCAGTCGGATTGGGGATTGGGCTGCCCCGAACACGAAGCACTGGGCAGCTAAGTGCTCATTTTTGGCAGACTTGGTCTGAGCTGGGTGCCTACTGTAGTCATGTGGCTTCCCCGTGCTCTGGCAACATCGAACTTGTTGATTGCGTGCAAATTCTGACTCTGGTTTGGTCCACGCTCAGCCCATCGCTGTTTAGATCGACAGCTAGTGGACTCGGCCGTCCACGACTCAGATGAACGAGCCATCGACTGAGTGGCTTGCCGGGTGGTCCATGCTGAACTCGGCAATGGCTTTGAGCACCTGGCTGCTGCATCACATCGCACTGGCATGATTTCTGTGCCATGAGGGGGGGACGGAACCCTACAATACAGTACTTTGAACCCTGTCCTACAATACATGGCCCAGTTTCCAACCGCATCCAAGCGCGAACTCACAAGTTTCGGCTGGAGCACTCGAGGGCTGCAGTCATTGCACCTTTGCTTCAGAGAACTACAGTTCAGACTTGGTTTGTGCACCTGACTATCCACAGCTCGCACTCACTTTCACTTTGATGGGGCGGTCAGATATGTGCAATGCTGCGGAGGGGGCAATTCGAACAGCCGTCTTCCCACAGTCGAGGAGCGTCAGGCATGGTGGCTCGTGGCGTGTGCTGCATCATGGCACGCGACGTGCACCGAGAGAATGCCCATACTGAAACACACCGCCAAGATGCGTTTCGCGTGCCTCCGGACGTACGCGCTGGCAAAGTGAATCTGCCACAACCTGCAGAAGCACTTCGTGACTTTCATTTGAGAGCTCTAGACCTGATGGTGGCCTCACGGCGATTTGACTCCTGGACGTTGGCCCGGACGCAGAACACGGAACGCTCCCTTTGTCGTGCCTTGGTGTTTCACAATGACAACTGTTGCACGCCAGCATTCGGACTTCCGCATGCGCGGGGAACCGAGGTTGCTTCTCAGTGACAGTGAGCTGGGCGAGATCCTAACAGAGAAAGCTGCCTCAGCCCGTGGCTCCATAGCAGTCTCCGTGGTGGACGCTGTGGCATGGACCCCAATCCGTAACCTGCAGCATCTTCGGGCAAGTCATGGCAGGATCTGCATTGCCACCCGCAGCCTCCCATCGAAGCTCTTCGGATGGTGGGCAAGAGCAGAGCTCAGCCATTTCCGCTGATGCCGTCATCGAGACCTTCCAAGGACCCAAGTACAATGCATGGCATGTTACGACAGGCTCAGGCAACGCTCGTTTCAACCCTTCCGTGTTGCTTCTTTGCTGTGTGGTTGGCGGCTTCATGATTGCAAGACTAGGCCAGGAGCCACCTAACATTGATGCAAAGGCTTCAACTGGTCAATGAGCTGCTGCTAAGCGCCTTTTGTGTCGGGTCTGATGCGTTGACTGCATCCACCAGCTGGTTCAGCCACAGCCTGGTCCAAACATCTCCTATAGCACAGCTGCCAAAGTCAAAAGGAATCAACTTTCCACGCTGGGCCGCTGGGACGTGGATTTTTGCCACACGCACCCTGACGGCATGTCCATGCGAAGCCTTGGCAAAAGCAACTGACAGGCAGGCCTTTCAAATCTTTCAATGACCAAACATTCACCAATGAGCCTTCATCTTTAAAGGCGGACACCAAAATGCAGCAAGGAGCGTTAGCGAAGGAGTTGTATCTGGTAGCCCAAGCACCGTAGCGATTTGATTGCATTCCTCGGCTTAGAGAGGAGGCACACTTTCCCAGGAGCGAGATTGAGGGAGCTTGCAACCTCAGCACGCACTCCTGGGCCGACTCCTGGGGGCATACACCTGCTCCTGCACCGAGCTCTCAACAAGGCAAGTTGCAGATATTCCCCTTGCGGATGCACAGTTCCGACCAGCCAGCTGTTGATGCGAGCCTGGCATATTCAATTGAAAACCGCTGTTCCATGCAAGTCCCACGTGCTCCGCATTACTTTGCAGGCTGCACTGTGGACGGCTGCGCGAGGCAAGCCAAAAACTCAGGTTCTAACGACAAGTGTAGGCTGAAACTGCAGCCACACCGGCAAGGTCACAAACATCAGAATGCTTCTGATGAATGCGCCTTGGGTGACTGATGTGTGCTCATGCTGAATTGCATGTCGAAGTGCACTAGATCATGCTGGCATTTCCGGCATGCAGTCGAGTTGCTGTGTGCCGCAACTTGGTGAAGTTGTAGGACACCAAGATCTAGCTCCGCTGTCCGGCGTTGTGCAACAGCCCCGCCTTTGCCCACCACAAACCATCGAGTCGTCACCTGGATCCATTTCCCAGCCCACCTGACAATAGCAGCCGTTCCGTGTCGGCATTCCCTGCGCCAGGTGACAGG